GGACACTCAGTCATTGCAATGCTGACCCCAGCTTTTCTAATCCCCAATTCTCCCACGCTCAAGACTTTCTCAAGGTCTCTCTTCCTGTTGCTATGCAATTTTGCATCAAGCTACAACATTTCAAAAATGCTTCTCCCCCTCCACATCCCCACGTCCACTGCTGGTTTGGGAGCAGCCTCTTGAATAGTATTTCAGTCCCTGGAATTCTCCTTTTCCTATTCTCTCTCTGTTCTCCTCCCCCTCCCATTTAGAATTCCTCTCAGAGCTGGGGCAGAAGTGAAAAGTCCCCTAATCTAGCTCCCTCCACATTCAAGAATCCTCTTTGCAACATCCCTGACAAGTTTGCACCCCAGTCTGATTAAGGGCTTATCAGTGATGGAATTGAATCCAGAATCTGATTAAGGATTTAAGAGTAATGGGAATTTACTAGTTGTGTGACCCTGGGCAAGTCACTTAACCCCAATTGCCTAAAAAGGAAAAAACAAAGGAAAAAAAAGAAAGAGTAATGGGAAACTCAGTGTTTCCTGTGGAAGCCCTTTGCAATTTGGGACAATTCAATGATCAGAAAGGCATTTCTTATGTCGAACATAAATCTTCCTGTGGTCTGTTGATCACAGTTACAGCCTCCAGCTACAAGATAAAAGTCAAATTTCTCTTCCACTAGATAAAAGTTGAGATTATAACTCTTAGAAAGCAGAATAAATGAGAGAGAACACATTCACCAAATGAAATGGGCTGCCGCAGGAGCTGGTAAGCTCCCCCTCCTTGGGGGTCTTCAAGCTGACTCTGGGTATGTTATAGCTGGGATTTCCTTCATACATGGCTTGCCCTCTCTGACTGCCCCTTATAATGGTGATAACTAAGGCCTCCCACAAAAATGAAGCACCCTGAGGTTCCCAGAGTCTCCAGGCTAATGGGACCCAACCCTCAGTTGCCAGCCTGGCCAGGTACCGGGAGCTGACTGAGAAGCCCGTCTATAGAGACTGACGATGAGGAGGAGCCCACCATCCCCCGGCAGCCCAACCCACTTGGGGACAGTCCTCATCATCAAGAGGTTCTTCCTGACCTCCAGCTTAAATTGGTCTCAGGAGTCAAGCAGAATGTGGCCACAGGGCACACGGCTGAGGGTAGGAGGGACCGCACTGGCTGCAAAGTCAGGAGACCTGAGTTCAAATGCTAGTTGTGACTCTTACTACCTGTAGGGCCTTGGACAAGTCTCTTATCTTCTCTAGGGCTTAGTTATCTCACCACCAAAAAAATGAGAAGGGTGGACCCAATGCCCTTGGAGGCCCCTTGTCTCTCTAAATCTGTGACCCTATGTCCAGTTCTCCCTCCCCTGGCAGCCTTTCAAGCCCCTGAACACAAAAGTCATGTCAGCATCACACAGCAGGTAGAAAACTAGACCTGGAGCCAGGAAGACCTGAGTTCAAATTCTTTTTATGATACTTTCTACAGGACAGACCACGAGCTAGGCAATTCACTGAGCTTCCTCTGTAAACTGGGGCTGAAGGGAAATGAAAAGGGAGTCCGCTCCCATGATCTTGTGAGGCCCAAACTCAACACCCACTGCTCCTGCTAAGGACAGAAGAAGGCAGGGAATCAGTGCACCAGGAGGTGCTCCCCAGCGTGGGATAACCTCCAGTCTGTCAATGTTGGGAAAGTGTTTCTGAAAAAGTGATTTTCTCACAGAAATGCTAGCAGATAAGTGGGGCAAGGGCTACAGCTGTTTGTTTGGCTTTTTTACATGTGAGGAGACTGACGCACAGAAAGGTCACAGAGCTGACTCATGGTCACCCAGCGATAGTCAGAGCTTGCCTTACGTGTCCTGGTTCCTATGAAACTTCCACGTGCAAACCCCTCCGAAGCATCCCTGCTGAGTTACTCTCCAGCCTCTTCTGGGAGATTTTTAGTGGAAGGGGACCCACGACCTTACAAGAAAGTCCATTCCATTTTTGGACATTTTTTTTCCTGACAAGCAGCTGAAATCTGCCTTCCACCAATTAGTCTTAATTCCAACATCTTGAGCAAAACAGATTTCTAAATATAGCCCACCTTCTGCATGATATCCCTTCAAAGATCATGTTTCCCCACTATCTTCTTCAGACTCAAGCTTCTTTCACCACTTCTTACAGAGCCAGGGTCCGAGACTACACTAGCCTGGTTGCCTTTATCTGGACACATTCCAGTTTCTCAATCTCTTTCACTCTAGCTCCTGGACTCAGTCTCACAGTCTTTCAGGGCAGTGTAATTGGTTCCGAAATCCGAACCCAGCACTTCAACAAAGGCAAACTCAGACTCACGCAGTTCAGTCAGGGTAAGTTTGTGGTCCCCTACAGCCCTGAGATCTTTTTATTTCCATGAACACTGTTGAAAAGTCAGTCCTCACACCCATCCTGCCATTGGGTAATGTGATTATCACTACTTAACCCTAGTGTCCTGGTGCATTTCATGTTGTTGATTTCAGTCCAGCCTGACAAGCTAGGGAAGACAGCTGCGTATCACCTCCATACTCAGTGGCCACATCTTCTCTGACCTCAAGGGATAGAAGGCTGGGGCAGGAGTCAGAAGTCCTCCATTGAAATGCTGGTTCTGCCAGGTATTACCTGCATGGCCTTGGGCAAGCTGCTTGATTCCTCTGAGACCCAAAGGGTTAAGGAGAGGCCTTTCAGGTATCCTTCTGGCTCAAAACCTATGACCCCGTGACAAAAGTGTGGGCTCAGGCTAAATGCCTGTCCCTGGGGCACTGCAATCTCCATCTCGCCTTGCATGAACACTTGACTATATACATATTTTCATTTCTCATGTTCTTGTTTAATGGGGAGGGAGTTGTATGTTCCAGTGGGTGATGGATCCTGGATTCAACAGTGCTCATAGAAAAAACCATCTGACCATTAGGATCTTTGAGTACTCAGACTGAATCCCAGTATACTGTGTTTACCCACACAACAGGTGCTCACAGGTAACAGTGGATTGTTCCCCGTTTGGGAAAAAAACACTAGGTCTAGACTCTCTTACTTCCTGGTAGGTGACCCTCACCTCATCAATGGCTCAACCTGCCTCTTCTAATTGGTTCCACCATCTTCAGAACTTTTCACAAACACCTCATCTGAATTGCATGGCAAAACAAGGTGGGGAGAATGATGCTGGTGGAGGCATCAACCTGCTCATTGTGGTAGACCAAGGTCCCCTGAGAACTCTTAAACTGATTCTCTGCTTGTTCTATCACTGTGGGTGTGGAGCTCAGGATGGAGAATGGAGTGACCCTTTTCTTCCTCAGCCCTTCCACTGAGTCCTGTCTCTCTACCTGACCCCACTCCCCTGCCTCCAGGTTTCTGGTCACCCTGGACAGCTTCCTGGCTTACTGGGTCCTTGCCCACTTAGGTTTGGGCCAATAAGCCCTTCTCACATACACTGGAGAAATGTTTGTCTGAATTAAATTGAATGGAAATATTCCATTCAGGGGGGATCATTGAGAGTCCCTAAAAGATGGTACCAGATTTGTGGCTTTTCTCACCAATGCTTGTTAGCCCTCCAAGCTCTCAGAGACCAGACAGAAGACCATGAACTTTAAGGGTGTGTATGTCCTGAACTCTGCAGGGTAGGCCAGGGAAAGAGGTACCAAGGAACAAGAGAAAGTAGGAAAAAGCTAGCAATCCAAGCTTTGAAGAAGAAAAGCCTTCCCTCCCTTGTAGTCCCAGGTGGAGGTGGCAAAAAATAACCAGGGACAGCACCTGGCAAGAACCCACCTGGGCTCCCAGAGGCAGTCTTGTTTCCTCGTAACCCTGCCAGAAACAAACCTTGGATTGAAAGACTCATAGAATCCTCCTCTGCCTCAGTTTGCCCCTCTGAATAGGGAGATAAAAGTAGTGGCCCATGAAAAGCTTTACTGAGGCAGTCCAAGGTCCTTTCTAGGCCTGAATGAGTATCAATAACCATCATAAACCCAATAATAACACCACCACACGTTGAATAGAGACTTCAGAACATAAGGGATGAAAAAAGAAGCCCTTATTAGGCACCTAGGACAGCTGGGTGGCACAGTGGATAGAGTGATGGGCTTGAAGTCAGGAAGACTGATCTGGCCTCAGACACTTCCTAGCTGTGTGACCTGGGCAAGTTACTTCACCCTGTTTTCCTCAATTTCTTCATCCATAAAATGAGCCGAAGAAGGAAAAGGCAAACAACACTAGTATCTTTGCCAAGAAAACTCCAAATGGCTTCATGAAGAGTCTGACACAACTGAAACGACTGAACAACAAAAATTAGGCACCTACTATATGCCCAAAACTCTCTTGTCTATAATATATATAGCACATATAGATAGATATCCAGGCCCCTTCCAGGAAGGGAGAGATAGGACTTTTTTACAGATAGGGAAATGACTCCAGGTTCCTGCATCAAGTCTGCTCACTCACCCATACTCTCTCTTTGAAAACCTTTTCTCCACCTGCTTTTACCCTAAGACTATGTCACACTAGATTTGTTGTCCCTACACAAAGAAGAGTTGGGAAAGGTGGGCCATGAAAGATAATTGTTCGATCATTCACATTAAAAATGCTTAGGGGGATGATCCCCAGGGACCAGCCTGTCAACGTGTGGCTACTTGGACATATTTAATAAACTCCTTTTAATTCTTTAACAACAACAAAAAAAGCCTAGTGGCAAATCCACAGAGGGCAATTTGGCTCAGTCTTTACAAAGACCCTCAGTTCTTACAAACGTCCTGCTCTCCTTTGGCCAGAAGCCTGGGAATCCTGCACAGCTGAGATTATGCTGATAAAAGAGAAGCAAGTAAGGGGATTGGGGGAGTGAGAAGTAGAGGGATTATCTAGCTGAACCTCCTTGTTTTACATGGAAAGAAACTGAAGCTCAGAGAGGAGGGAGGGATGTCCAGCCCCAGATGGCCCGGCCAGCTTGGACTCCTGGCACCCCTGGTTGGGCACTGGCTGCTATGCCCTGCTGATCTAAGTAACGAATGGTTTTGATTCTCCACAGGCTCCTCATGACATCAAACACCCAATGTGATTTAGAAACGCAAAGACAGAGGGAGCCTGACACAAAATACGAACAACAGTTGCGGAGGAGGGTTCTTGTCCTTTTCAGAAGTCTGCCACTCACAGCTAGTTCAAATGAGAAGGGGGAGAGGACAGTCTCCAACGCCCCAGAAAGGCCCTTTCCGATTATCCTGCATGATTGTGGATTTAGAGCTAGCAGGGACCTTAGAGGCCATCTGCCCAGCCCCTGGCTTTACAGAGAACTAGCTCAAGGTCACTCATCAGAGGAGCATGTCATAGACACATACGATAGACATCGCAGGTAGGTAAGAGCTCAGGTCCTCTGGCTCTGGAGCCAGGGGTTGGGCTATGCCTGCACTGCGCCATCCCCCAAAATGACCTGCCTTGAAGCTGGCCTCCCAGGCAATGAGTCCCACAGCCCTGCGGGAGTCTGGGAAGCTTCAGCCACCTCCAGGTCTCTCAAATGCCTCCAGTAGGCTGAGCAGCTTCCTTCCCTCAGACACTGGCTCTGCCTGGGGAAGGGGTACATACCAGTTCGTTGTCCTCTCCTGGGTTCAGCAGGACCCAGTGGTCTCTCTTGTGGTTTTCCTCCATGCCAAGGCTCTCCTGTCACTTGCCAAGGTCTACTCCCAATTAATCCTTCAGGAAGCACCTCGCCAGGGCCAGCTGGAAGACTGAGCACCAAATACTTTTCATCCTGGCTGTGCAATGATGTTTAAATCTCCCACCACACCCCTTCCTTATTGGACCAACAAAGGTGAGCAGGGGAGGCCAAGGGGGTTCCCAGCTTCCAGCCTCCCTCAGCTTTGGCTGCTGAACCAATGTAGGGAGGCAGACACAAGAGCAGTGGTTGGACAGGGAAGTATAATCACTTAGTTTCCCATCAGCAAACGTTGGAGCTAAGCCAAGCACACCAAGAACAGAGACGATCCCTCTTGAAGAAACTGAGCCAGAGAGATTAGCAAGGAAGGAAGGTTCTGAGACTTGAGGGAAAGGGACAAGCACATTGCCTAGGGTGGGAGTAGGGGAGAGTCAGAGGCATGCGGAAATAGTTATTGAGACTGACAGGAAGATGGGGTTTGAGGCTGAAAGGAAGGAGAGGCTCAGGTGAAAAGTGGGGATCAAACAGAAGCAGAGGGGAGAGCAGCAGCTACAGCAAAGCCCTCAACATCCCAAGACAGACAGACTTGGGCAGACCCTGCACCAACAGAGGGGTTACCCCTCCCTTCTTCTCTCCAGAAAATTCATGGACTCTCAGATTTGGAAAAGGCTGGAAAATCCCCTTGATCACCCAACCAACGAGTGATCACTCAGCCTTTGTTTGAAGCCCTCCTTAACTTCCCTGGGCCTCGGTTTCCCTATCTGTCAAATGAGGCAGTTGAACCAGATGACCTACCACTATGATGGAAACGTGAAGGGCAACTGGGTGGTCCAAAAGAGCAAAGCATGACCCCAAATCCCTCATTTAAGAGAATGAATGGGATTTCTATGGCATGGGAAATTCTGGGAGAAGGAAGGAAGTAGGGAGGGAGGAAGGGAGGGAGGAAGGAAGGAAGGAAGGAAGGAAGGAAGGAAGGAAGGAAGGAAGGAAGGAAGGAAGGAAGGAAGAAGGAAGGAAGGAAGGAAGAAGGAGGGAGGGAAGGAGGAAGTGAATTTTATGCATATGGAATAAATCTTGAATACTGTGGCTCTCCTTTCCAAAAAACTGTCAAAGAGACAACTCATTGATTTGTAGGAGTACGTGGATTTTCTTCATGTTGCTTCTTCAATGATTACTTCAAGAGTTCAAGGATCCGAGCCTCAGGGTTTAAGCCCACCATTCAATGCTGCAGACCGGCTGCACTCTGGCTCCGTATTCAAAGCCTGCCTGCATAGGCTGCTGGTGCCCTGGACTGTCCCCTGGGAGAGACGCTGAAGACATCAGAAGTGAGACCCAGAGCACTGGCTGGAATACGGCCAAGGGAGAGGACACCAGCTGCTGCTGGTAAGTGGGTCATTTCTTCTATCTGCTTCAAGATGCTCAACATTTTCCTTTGATGGTGGGGTTGAGGGGCTTCGTCCTGGCAGGTCAAGGTCTGGCCTCTGGCTGTTTATGGAAAACTACCAACCAGATTGTCCAGAAATGGAGAGGATTTGTGGTGAATGTCAATGAGAGTGAAGGGGAGCCCCACCCTTGGGAGGGAGTTGTGCGATGGCAAAAGCTCTGGACTTGGAGACCCAGGCTTGCAGTCCTCAGTTCTATGACTATCTCTTCCTCTCTCTGTGCCTCAGTTTCCTCTTCTGCAAAAGGAGGGGCTTGGGATGAGCTCCAGATCTCTGCTTTGATGATTCTATGATCTCTACAATCCAGGCTCGTTCCTGATTTTGCAGGACCTGGTGTGGGAGGAGGCTGCCACCACGGACTAGACTGAAATTCTCAGGGCAGAGGATGTACACAGATTTGGCTTTAGTACCTTCCAGGGAGTCCAGACCAGCATGTGGGAAGCTCTGTGGAAAGGGCACTGGAGCGAGAGAGACCTGTGGGCCCAGTGCTGAGCCCCAGCTAGTCTGTACATCAAAAAAAAAGGAGCTTAGAGAGAAACCAGTGTTCCAGAGTATGTGCACATGTGTGCATGTGTGTGCCTTTCTGCTAGTCGGTGGCCCACCTTCTGGTGATGAGCCTCACCAAATTGTAGCAGGCTGGTATAGGACTCTCCAGCGTGACAGGTGGCACTCCATGAGCATTGCCTTTGAGATGACACTGTCTTCTCCTCTTCAGGACAAGGCACTGGAGGATGAAGCTGGTGTACCCTCACTACCAGGAACCATTGGCAAGCAGTCAAGGGCTGGGAATGAACAGGTTTCCGAAGAATGAAAAGCCTTTGATTACCATGCGAGAGACTGCTCCGAATCACCAGTCGAGAGAAACAAAACCAGCCCAATCGTGAAGTCTTGCCCCACACCAGCAAATGAACAGAGACGGCAAAAGACGCAAAGCGGTGGCATTGGAGGGACCGCGGGGAGATAGACAGAGAATCATGCATGGGTGGTGGAGTTGCAGATTGATTCAACTACTCGAGGAAGACACTTTGAGCTATGCTTAAACAACGGCAACAACTGAAGAGTTCATGCTGCTTGTCCCTCTGCTAGACACTCCACATGTACTCCAGGGACCCCAAAAGAACAACCCGAAACACATCAAGATGTTCAGAGCAGAATGGTTTGTGTTGGCAAAGAACTGAAAGCAAAGTATTGGCCGCCCGTTTGGAAAGATTCAAAAAGACAGTGGGACAAGAATATGACAGACTATTAATGCACCACACACACACACACATACACACACACACACACACACACACACACACATATGTATAAATAATTTAGAGAGACAGAGGACTTTTTTGAACTGAGGTAAAGTGAGGCAAAAGTCACCATGGAAAAATACACATAATTATGACTATGTAAACCAAAAACTCACAACAGAATGACATTGAGTGGTTATGATGCCTGAGCTGAACCCCAGGGGAGAGTTTAGAAAACTCACCTACATCCCTTCCCCACAAGGGTGGGGGATGCCAGGTGTGGAACATTGCCAATTTTGGCACACATAAGAGTTGCATTGGGTTTTTTTCCTGATCTTTTTTTTTTATTTTAAAATCTTTGTTATGTGGAACAACTTGTTGAGTGAAGGAGGGGGAAATAATATATTTAGAAGTAAATGTGATAAAAACAAAAAGTATCAATTTTGGAAACTTTAAACAATTTTTTTTTAAACATTGGATTATAACTTAGCTTTTCCCAGGAGAACCAGGGTCACCAAACCTTAGAGACGTGAACAACCCCGAGGCCTGTGCAGGCAATACATTCCCCAGGGTCATTGGCTCTGTTTCCTTTCCTCCTGGAGAGGCTTCCTCCTAAAGGTTTGTGGGCTAATTTGGAGGTGGAGGAAGCTGGAAAACATAGGCCTACACACACCTCCAAGCTCCCTCAAGACTCCATGATTCTATTCCTCTTACCTGACAAATGTCATTGGTTTTGATGCAGCAAACACTTCCTGACAAATGCCCCAACAACCCCTCTTACAAATCACATTCCCCCAAAGACCTACCGATCTTTCAGCGGTTACCAGGAAGGAGCGGCGTGGAGGGCCAACCTTTTCCAGGGCCCTGCCATGACTACATTTTCACAACAATTGGCACTGGTAGACCCAAGGAGGAAGAAGAGAGGGCTTTCTGTCAGAAGAGAATGCCCTAAAAGCTGGAAGTTTGCTCATCTGAAAGCCAGCAGAAACTGGACCAAGAAAGAATGAAAGAATGCCCACCAGACATCTAGTGGCAAACATTGCCTCAGACCCATCACCCAACCTGGGACAACGAAGGCTCATGGAGGCAGGTCACCATTTAAAGTGAAGTTATAGACACAGATTAATGTGTGAGATGAGGACAAGATTTCAATCCACACCTTTGAACATGGAAACCAAACTGCTCTTTTCCTCTTGTTGAAAGTGTGTTAGCAGGTAGAATAAGGCAGCCTCGGAGGTAGACCTGGCCAACCTGCCTACTCAGGGAAGCAGTTTGCGAAGGGGAAGAAACATCCAACTGTCCTCTGACTTACTGGGTCTATGCTGAAAGTCTTTCCTCAACAGCTCCGCCATTTCTTGGGGGCAACTTGAGGGCCTGGCACACAGGAGGCACTTAACAAATGCTCATTGACTGACTGACTCTTCAAGGGAAGAGCCCAGCCCTGACTCTGGATGAACTGCCCATGCTCCACCCTTCCATCCACCCCCGTTCATTCTTTCCTCGTTTATCCTGACTCTGCTCGGAGAAGCTAAATCCCCAGGTAACCAGACATGCATGGCACCCCGAGCCAGCCCATGCTGCTTCCTCTTTAAGAGCTGTGGCCTCTGGAATGTCGTTGCCCCAGGATTAAACCACCAGGAGTCTTATTTCATCAGTTTGTTGACCAAGACAAGAGCCAGGGGCACCTAAGAGGATTATACCCATTCCCATGGGTGAGGCCCCAGATTGGTGCTTTCATGTTTGAGAAGCAGCCCTGCCTGCTATTTTCCTGGATTGGAAGTGACCTGCCACTGATTGTTCTGAGCCGTTCCCAGGCCAGAGTAAAGGGATCTCCCTCAGGTGTGAGGCCCAGGATGTATTTGGGAATCAGACTTGGGAGTCTATAGCTCTCAGATGCAGCTGGCCCAGGGTCTCCTTGAGATCTGTCATTCAGCACCCAGCCCCAGGTGGACGGAGAAGGCGGGGAGCCTGGAAGGTCCTTGTTTTAACCTTGGAGAAGGGCGGCCTCAGAGCTCACTGGAATGAAGCTTTCGTGTGCTCCAAGAGAGCCATGTGCATGCACAGTGAAAGAGGAGGAAGGAGAGGGGAAAGAGGAGCCAAGGCAGGGGAAAGGAGACCATAGTGGAGGGGAGAGTATGAGGTCTTCAGCACAGGAGCGCATCTAGGAACTCTACAGAACCAAGTTAGGGAGAAGTAGGATAATTGAGGGGGAAGCATGTTGCAGATGGAGTCAAAAGGGTGGGTCTGGGTTCAAAACTTGGCTCCACTCCTTGCTGCCTCTGTGACATTAGACAAGTGACTTGATTTCCCCAGGTGTCAGTTTCCTTTCTTTGAAGTGAGGAGATTGAGCAGCTATACACAGTGAGTCAGAGAATGGGGGTTCAAGGTTCACCTTTGAGAGCCTAAGGAAGTGGCTGAATGCCTCCGTGCCTCAGTGTCTTCCATTTGTAAAATGGCAGAGTTGAATGTGATGACCTCTAAGGTTCCTTCCAGTTCTGATCCCACGATCCTCCTTCTCTCTGAATGTGTGATGTAGAGTGCTGGGATGTTCACAATGTCTTTGTCCTGCGTCAGAATGGGAATGGGAGGGGCAGCTAGGTGATGCAGTGGATAGAGCACCGGCCCTGAAGTCAGGAGGACCTGAGTTCAAAGCCGACCTCAGACCAAACACCTGACACTTAGTAGCTGTGTGACCCTGGGCAAGTCACTTAACCCCAATTGCCTAAAAAAGAAAAAAAACAAAACAAAAATCAAAACCTATTCACCTTTAAGACTTGCTGATTCTCTGGTCAGCATGTCATGCCCAAGAAGGAGCCATGGCCCGGTACCTACTGGCAAAGAGCAACAGAGAACTGATGTTAAATAACCGTGAAAAGGCCATTTCATTTTTAATAGTAAAATCTACCTGTTTTCACCTAATTTCCCTTTTCCTTACATTATTAAAACATAGGAACTGATGGGCAGAACTGCCATCATTTAGACATCTCTCTACCTGGTCCTATTGCTCTTATCACAAAGGAATGCTTTAAAAGGAAGAGGGTACAGAATCTGTGGAGCCCCAAAGGAGAACCTATGACACCTGGAGCAAACCCCCAAAATGTCTAGCAGAATTTCTCTTTTAAAAATATTTTCTCCAATTCCATGCAAAAATAATTCTTAAAATTTGCTTTTTGAAATTTGGGGTTCTTGATTCTCTCACTATCCTCCCCCCTCCCTGAGACAGCAAGCAGTTTGATCAAGGTTATACATGTGCAGTCACGCAAAATGTCTTCCCATATTAGTCATGTTGTGGATGAAAACACAGACCAAACAGAACAAAACAAAATGAGAAAAAGAAAAAAAGTAAAGAAAAAGTTTGCATTCAGAGTTCATCAGTTCTTTCTCTGGATGTGGATAGCAGTTTTCATAAGTTCTTGGGAACTGTCTTGGATCACTGTATCACTGAAAAGAGCTAAGTCATTCACAATCGATCATCACATCTAGCAGAATTCCTAATGAGTTTAAAACTCAGCCCAGTGTCCAGAACATAGTAGGTGCTTAATAAATGTTTAATGAATTGTATTGAATTGAATCAAACTTTTTGGTCTATTAGGTGACCATTGACAGCCAATGGGACCAAGTCTGTAAAATCACAAGAGCTATGACTAAGGTGTTTACCTAATCTAGAAACAGGAAGATAAGTGGGCAGCCCTAGAATCTTTAGAGAGGTAAACTGAGGACAAGGGAAAAGGGAATCCTTTGTGTCATGGACAAGATTGGGAATATAGTGCTCCCAGAAAACAGCATAAAAATGTAGGTAAACAAGGTTTGGTAATTAGAGTTAACAAACAAACAAAAATTATTTTATTTCATCTTCACAATGCCTCCGGGAGGCAGGAGCTGTTATTATACCCATTTGGCAGGTGAGAAAACTGAGATGAGAGAGGGTGACATTAAAGAAGTGTCTGAGGCAAGATTCCAACTCTTCCATGGTGCCCCCTAGTGACCTCAATAAAGTTTAGATCCAGTCATGACGATAGATCTACAGGAGCTGGGTGAAGAGAACTGGAGTCTGGGGAGGGGGGTGTCTAATTTTTTTCTTAATTTTGTGAAGATGGCATCGGGGGCAGGAGAAATGCTGGGCCTTGAGACAGCAAACTTGTCCCTCCCGTTAATTACCCATGTGACCACGTGCAAACACTTCACCTCCTTAGGCACAGTCACTTCATAAAATGGCGACAATGATCCATATTCTGCCTCTTCCACAGAGTGAATGGAAGGATGAGCTGTCTACAGGTGAGTTGCTGCCGTTGAGACCTCTATGCTGTGCTCTGTCATCACACATCCCTGTATAGTAAGCTCTTCAGAAATGTTGTTTTCAGTTATTTGTCTATTCACTCATTCATTCGTACAATTGAAACATCACAATTTGTGTATGAAACATTTTGGTTCTAAATGAGTCTGGGAAGGTAGATTGGAACCCCGTTACAGAAGACCTCAGGGTCCAGAAGGAGTTGTAATTTTCCCTATAGACCATAGGGCACTGTAGAAGGTGTTTGGGCAGGTGAGCCGTGTGAGCAGCCCTGATCTTCAGGAAGATTGCTCAAAGAGCAGCATGAAGGAGGGATGGAAGGGGAAAATGATATAGGGAAGCTACTGAGAATCTATTGCCACTTCCTAGAGGAGGCATAATAAAGACCCGAGTGCAAACTTCAAACAACCATGAAATTAAAATCCTGTGATCCTACTTTATTTGAGTGGGAATGCCCGGTAGAGTCCATTTTCACATTTCCATCATTGCTCAAAAAGGAAACAAGGAAGCAAGCAAATACTGTTTGGGTGGACTGATGGAAACTGGGCCTCCCCAATTCGCAGATGTGTCTGGGTCCAACAGGTCATCTGAACTATATGAGGTCTCTGGTTTTATTGCATTCCTGGGAAGGAATGGATTCTGGCACAAGATGACACTGTCTTCTAGTTTCGAGTAATCTCCAAAATCCTATTACCCAATGTTTCTGAATGCCCTAGTTAAGTTCACCCCTTGCCTGACATTTTTATGGTCATTAGCTGTCAATCAGAACACCATTGTTGTTTTCAGCCTTGATGAAAATCAAAAGAGGTCATTGGTTTCAGGTAAGTTCATCCAATATCCTACCCTGTGCTGCCCTGGACCCAACTTTGGGCTTTTATATAAGCTACTGCCTTCATGCCTTGATTTCATGGCTTGGAAGAAGATCCTGTTTTGATCTGCTTTGTCACCAAAGAAAGATTCTATGGTCTGACTTTTTGTGCAGAATTTGTTTAGAGCAACTTTTTACGGGTATTTGGAGGGGTTTAGGGGAGAGCGCAAGCAAGTCGCTGCTTTTACTCTGCCATCTTGGCTCCACCCCTGCCCCATTCAAAGATCCTGTTGTCCCTCCAAACCTCTCCCTCCTCTACTGACTGAAGACTAAAATTCTACCACAGAGATGCGCCCTCTGGGGCAGTAATCACTTAACACCGTAGTGCTGATACCCAGAGGAGGAGATGGTATAATGACCAGGTAGAGTTTGACAGTTCCATTATGGTTACAGGCTTTCAAAGTTAGAAGGGACCCCAGATGCCATCTCAGCAGAAGCTCTACAGTGAGTGCGCAGAAAGATCCTTATTCAATTTTAACAAATATCTCATTTGATCTTCACAGCAATCCTGAGAGGTAGGTGCTGTTTTTTATCCCCCTTTTACAATGGAGGAAACCAAGGCAAGCAGAGGTTGTGACTTACCCAAGGTCACACAGCTAGTTAGTGCCTGACTTGAACTCAGGTCTTCCTGACTCCAAGTCCAGTGCTCTATCCACTGAGCCACCTACCTGCCTGCCACAATGTCACAATGTTACAGTGTCAATGACAGCTATCCTTAACATTCCAAGCCTTTCCTTATTCTCTGAAATACCTTCACCACAAGTCAAAGGAGTTATAGGACCCTGACAATACTGCTTTTGTATAAGTATTGAGTTCAGAATAAATTTCTCCCTAACTCATTATCAGGAAGGACTTCAGAGGGGGCAGAGGAGAGGAGGGGCCCTGTTATCTTTAAGATAAGAGCTATTTCAAGATGCCAACATTAAGAGATAATTAGGTTTGGACATAAAGGCCTCCCAGTTTATACTCCTTCCCCTGTGTCCCTAACTAGAGCTCCTCTAATTCTGGCAAAAGTAGAAGGAGTTTCTTGACTCCATGGGTCATTAAGGGCATGGCAAACAGCCCAGGACAAATACTGCTTCAGCACACAAAGGTGACAAGCTACCCAGGGCCTGTCTCTTATTAGGGAGGGAACAGGATAATTAGGTGGGACTTCAGTGTCATTTATGTTATGAGTTATGCTGTGATCTAACACAGGATTACTCTCCCTCCCCTCCAGTGGAATGAGTGTGGAAGATTTTCCTCCCCAGTACTGGGAAGGCAGATCTTGGGGAAGTCACCCTAACTTGCTAAGCCCCATCAATAAGACCAAGGCGTTTGACAAAATGCTCTTTGAGCTCCCTCCCAGATATAATATTCTGTGACTTTACAAAGAAGAACTTGAGTTGTTGGAGGCCCTCAGGTGGGCGCACAAACTCCTTGACCGATGCTTCTTGTGAATGCTCTGACCAATCCCTTCAAGGACAGGTGCCTCCAACAGCCAGGCTTTAGCTTTAGGTTGGAACCCATCATTTATACTTCTGTGTGAATGATCATTTCTTAAGAAGAGAATTGGGCAGCTAGGTGGCGCAGTGGATAGAGCTCCGGCCTTGGAGTCAGGAGGACCTGAGTTCAAATCAGATCTCAGACACATAACACTAGCTGTGTGACTCTGGGCAAGTCACTTAAACACAATTGCCTCACCAAAAAAAACTTTTTTTTTAATTTAAAAGGTCTCAGACCAGACACTTGACACTTACTAGCTGTGTGACCCTGGGCAAGTCACTTAACCCCAATTGCCTAGCAAAAAAAAAAATTAAATAAATAAAAATTAAAAAAGGAATAGAATTGGATTGCAAAAGGCCACCAGGGTCTTAATGATAGTGGGACACAGACACAAAGGAAACAGTAGAGAAATAAGCTTTGCTGCCCATAACTGGGCCCCTCATCCATGGTCTTGTCAATATATTAGGAGACTCTCTGTTTTCCAGAGCTCAGGCCCAGCAAGCAGGCTGTGCCCTGAGCTTAGCATAACAATAATCCTTCAGGCTCAGGAGGATCTCACCCTCTGGCAAAATCACAGAATTACTGTATTGCTTTTCAAGTCCTGGTCATGAAGCCCTGTATGAATCAAACATGTCACATCGCTGGTGTTACCCCTCATTGTCAGTGCTACAGCTCACTGAGAAACCACTGGTATGAGCATGGAGATCCCCCCCCACTAGGGATAGGGCCCCAGCACATGAGTCTAGATGCCTTCCCTGCTTGCAAGCTGTTTCCCTCCCTTTATAAGTAAGCTTCTGCTTGATTTCTGACTCCCCTGTCTCTGGCCTGCTCTATGCTGCTCAGCCATTCACAATTTAGAGGCGGGTTTGGTCTGGCTGATGGTAGCACACCTACTCTCCACAATTAGGTGCGTCAGACAGGGAATCTGATCCCGGGACGATGACCCTCGGCCACTCAATCAATCAATAATCATTTGTCGGGCCGAGGTACTGCACTCTACAGATGGCGAACTCAGAGAAGGGAGCCACGGTCTCCATACAACAGTGGAGCGACCCTGTCTCTGGGAGAGAGGTGGGAGTAGGATTGTGAATGTCTAGCCCAGCTTTCTGGGGAGAAGAGACACACCTTCCCAAATAGTGTGAGTTATTAGGACAATGCGGGTCCAATGAGCGAAGAGATGACTTCAGTCCACTACAGAGGCTTTCTCCTCTTTGTGGTTAAGTTGTTTCAGTCGTGTCCAATTCTTTGTGACCCGTTTGGTGCTTTCTTGTCAGCGATAATGGAGTGGCTTGCCATTGCCTTCTCCAGCTCATTTTACAGATGAGGAAACTGAGGCAAACAGGGTGAAGTGAGTTGCCCAGGGTCACACAGCTAGTAAGTATCCAAGGTCAGGTTTGAACTCCGGTCTTCCTGACTCCAGGCCTGGCACTCTATCCACTGAGCCAAACAGCCGCCTCTTCTCCTGTTAGGCCAGTCCAAACCACAGCATAGCCCTGTGTGCTTGGAGGAGCCTGTAGCTACCTAGGGCCACTAAAGCCGAATATTTGTTTTCTTTTTTAGTGGCCTATTGGGAGAGTTTTATCATCGTGTAGGCTTGCTGAGGATCAGAACAGCCATTGGCCTGTGTCCAAAGACTATAATGAGCTGGTTGCTTGCTGGGACTGCAGACCCCCGGCAGGACTGGGCATGCATAGCCAATCTGGGCAGGAGCTAAAGGAGGCCAGGAGACCCAGCGTGGTGAAAGGCAGCCCAATAGAAGCTGGACCAGGAAGAGCAGAGGCCAGCCCACTCTCACAGGTGGTTAACCACAGGCTGGAGGTTCCCAGGAAACCTAAGGGCTCTCTACAATGGGCCGCACCCCTTCCCACAGGTTTGTTGATTCAGTCCAGCCCAGCCCTGATAATCACTCACTAATACCCAGCACACTTGAATTGTCTCCTCTGGAAAAGCAGCTTTGGGACTTGGGGGATTTTCTGTTTTTTTATCAGTAGTAGGAGCACATGCCCTCACCCCAGTGTACACTGGCCCCTCCTCAACTCCTAGATAAACAGTTCCCCTGCCACTTGCCAGTAATTCCGAGTTCTTTGGGGCACAGACCACAAGGTGACTGGCCCAGAGTCACCCAACTAGTTTGGGACACAGACAGAAATGAAACCCAAGACTCCGGAATGCTAAGGATTGGTTTATGTGGGTTTATTTTATAGCCTGCAACTTTGCTAAAGTTGTTTATTATTTCAAGTAGTTTTTTACTTGATTCTCTAGGATTCTCTAAGTATATCACCATATCGTCTGCAAAGAGTGATAACTTTGTTTCTTCTTTGCCTATTCTAATACCTTCAATTTCTTTTTCTTCTTTTATTGCTAAAGCTAAAGTTTCCAGTACAGATATTGAACCAGCCTGCGTGGAATGCTAAGGATTGGAGGAAATGAGATAAGGTCACTAACCGAACTCTGAGGACTCTGTGAGTATGGCCAGGGTACCATGAGAGGGATGCAGATGTCTGTTCTGGAAGAGGGAGGACAGGGAATGGGGAGGGGCTCAAGCTCTGGTTTTTAGTCTCTTCTCATGGAGGCCTGGCCCTCCACGAAACTTCCCACAGTCTCCTTGCCAAGAGTTCCCCCTGCTCTTCCCAGCTCCTCTCAAAGTGTGGTAGTGAATTGTAAGCTCCCTGAAGGCAAGAACTGCTTGTACCCCCTGCATTAAGCACAGCACTTGGCCCAGAGAGCAGTCGCTTCATAGGTGATCTTTAGCTTTATGTGGCTATTTGGGGATGGGGTAGGGAGAGCACCTTAGCTGTGTTTAAGTATCAAACTATGGTTGGTCTTGTTCTGCATATGGTAGGAAGGAAGGTTGAGGCTCAAAGTCAAGAGCTGAGTATGTCAGCTTAAGAAATGGTGTCTGGTCACTTCCAGGAGAGATTGGATCATCCCCAACCACCATCATAGATGGGCATGGGTATAGAGCTGAAAGAAGAAAAGAAAAAAGAAGGAAGGAAGGAAGGAAGGAAGGAAGGAAGGAAGGAAGGAAGGAAGGAAGGAAGGAAGGAAGGAAGGAAGGAAGGAAGGAAGAAGCATTTGTTAAGCACCTGTTCTTTTTTTGCTCTTAGTCACATCTGACTCTCCATGATTCCGTTTGAGGTTTTCTTGGCAAGGATACTGGAGTGGTTTGCCATTGTCTTCTCTAGCTCATTTTATAGGTGAGGAAACTGAGGCAAACAGGGTGAAGTGACTTGCCCAGAGTCACACAGCTGGTGAGTGTCTGAGGCCAGATTTGAACTCTGATCCTCCTGACTCCATGCCTCATGCTCCAACCATTGCCCCACCCCGCTGGATCCTCAGGGGATGGCTTCACAGCTAAGGGAACGCAGCCGCAGAGGAGGACACACAGGCAGCAGGATTGGACAGTATATCGCACTGCATTTGGAGTCAGAAAGACCCGGCTCCTGACTCGTGGCCAAGCAGCCCCTCCAGCAGGATGCGCATCCCCTCCCCTCGCCTTCCCCGAGCATCCTTTGTCCCTGCTCGGTACTGTAGGGTATCGACCCACGTGCGTGCACGTCCTCTCCCCCATCAGAACGTAAGCACATTGAGGGCAGCACCGCGCATCTGTGTCCACAATGCCTAGCACACAAAAGGTGCGAGTCCCTCCAGGAGCACAGCGTCCCAGACTCCGCCGGATCTCCTTCCTCCCGGGAGTGCTCTCCTGCAGCATCGCCAGAGAGCTATCTCTGCCGCCCACCCCCAGGGGTGTTGGAGGGTGTTTTCCAGGTCATAACACAGTCTCCTTGAGGGTCAGGATCGTCTTCCTTCCTGACGGAATTTCTATTCCCAGGCTTGGTAAGCATTTACTAAACGCTCATTGACTTGACTGACCCAACATCGCTTGGATGGTGTTTTCCCCAAAGAAAGAGCACCCTCCGAGGGTGTTTGATATCTCTTCCAGAAAGCATCACTCCCGGCCTGCAGTATGTGTTTAACGAATGCTCGTTCATGCTTTTCCTCCCAGAAATGTGGCGATTTCAGCTGCACAGAATCAGTGGCTTTCAAATGCTTCTGTCCTGAGATGCCCAGCGGAGAGCACACGGCCTGGCACACAACAAGCAGGCTCTTAATCCATGTTTGTCGATGGTCATAGGATAACAGGTGGTGTTTATGTAGCACTTTAATGTTTGTGAACACTTTACTCATGTCATTTAGTCCTCACAGCCATCCTGGGAGGTAAGTGTTATTATTATCCCCATTTAACATTTGAGGAAACTGAGGCAGCAGAAGTGAAGTGACTTGCCCAGAGTCACACAGCTGGTAGGTGACTGTGGTGGGATTTGAACCCAGGTCTTCTAGACTTCAAATCCAGAAGCCTATACATGGCACCATGTCATAGCCCAGGTAAGAGGGTCGTAGAACCGGAACTCGAAGGCACTTAAAAGTCCTTCATTTTTCAGATGAGGAAACCGAGGACAAGGGAGGCTGACTTTCCCAAGGTCACACAAGTAGTGAGCATCAGAGAGAGAATTCCAACCCAGACCATGGGCCGGCAGATTCAGCCACCTACCATTTACCATTCAGCAAGATATGGGGAGAGCCTTTCTGGCTCCAAGGCCCCTACACCCACTGCCTCCCGTGTTTGTATTTCCAGGTCTTGGGGCGTCTTTGGTTTGGGAATTCCAAGATAGTAAGCAATCAGTAACCCACAGGCTTAGAGTTTCCTAAGCTTCAGGGAGCATAATTGACTTTCCAAATTTCACAAAATTAATTAGGCCCAGAGTTGTGATCTGAACCTGGGTCTTAATGACTCTAAGTCCAGCATTCCATTCATTCTACCATATTGACTCTCATGGCATCCATGTGGGCACTTAGCTACACTAAATCAAACATATTCAGGCTAGTTGTCTTGGATTTTATCTCTTTGTTGGCACAAAATTGCATCTTGTATGTGAGTCTTATCTCTTCAAAGATCATCAGCTCCATGAGGGCAAGCACAGTATCATCCATTTCTCTTGTGTCAGTCAATCTCTACACCAGGCACTATGCTTGGTGCTGGAGTTAAAGAAAAAAAAAAAGTGAAACAGCGTTTGCCCTCATGGAGCTTACAATCGTTAAGTATGTGGAAAATGACAACAAAGTAATGCACCTATCCCAGAGGTACAGCAATGCCTTGGGCTCCAGGAAGTGATAAGATGATGAAAAATAATGGAGGGGAGAAGAGTTGAGAAATAGGAGTGACAGGGACAAGATGACATTTAAGAAAAAAAGAGGGGAGAAAGAGATTCATCTTCTTTGCAAGACAGAGAACTACGAGGTAGAATGTTTTACATTCTGTCAGACTCCATTGATGTGTTGGCTAGGATTTGATGAACTAATTTTTATTCTTTCTTACAAAAAGTTACTCACTGGTTAGGCAGAGAAGGCAGAAGAGGAAGAGAAAAAGGGAGAGCGGAAGAAGGGAAAGAAGGGAAGGAGAAATAAAGAAAGGGAGAGAGTAAGAAGGGAGGGTTAGAGAAACAGATTGAACTACCTCATTAGACCCACAAGTGTTTCACTCTCTTCCTTTCTCTCTCTCTCTCAAAGCCTTAGGACTTCAGCATTTATTGCCTCCTCTGGTCATTCTCTGGAAGCTGAACATCCATGAACTAGGGGAGAGAGAAGAGGGCTGGCCAGAGCTGCAGGTCCACAGCAGAAACATAATTTGGGCAAAAAGACTTTAATTTATAATCATGATTTGATCTGTTCATCAAAACCTCTGGTTTCAATTAGAAGGAGCTTCCTTGGACTACAAAGTTCCTGAAGTCCTTCCATCCCTTTCTTTCTTGTCAGACCACCTGGGCCCCAGAGCCCTAGGACATAGCCTTCATGGGGTCTCTTCATGGCTTTCAAACACGGGGTTGCTGTAGGATACTCCACTGGCACTCTCCAGCCGCTCAGAATAGGAAGTCTGATTCAGGGGGGGCCAGGCTTGGTCACTGGCCACCACACTCTGCCATTTTCTATACTGGCTTTTAGACTGAAATCCAAAACTTCGCTTGATGATCAGCCAGAGGGCTCGATTTTCAATGATGGCTTCCTGGAAAACAGAATGATAACAATAATGGCAAATGTTCGTCTGGTGCTTTAAGGTTTGCAAAGCACTTTACATATTTAATTTAAAGTGCAGATAGTACAAAGTACTAATTTCATCTTTTTCTTTTTTGATACAATCCAGCTTTAATGTTTTAGTTGATATATGAATTAAAAGGTGTCATAAAGTAATGTTTTGCCACACATACAGATTATAGACAACTCTCAAATATTTGTATATCAGTCCTTGGGTTTCAGAGATTAAATTTGCATTGCCTTTGGGTAGACCACCTTCAGGTAAGCATGTGATACCCTATGTGGACAGAGGGAAGGGAAGGAAGGAAAGAAAGAAAGTAGACAGAGACAGAGAGACAGAGAGAAAGACAAAGAGAGACAGAGAGGGGGAGAGAGAGAGGCAGACAGAGAGAGACAGAGAGAGACAGAGAGAGAGAGAGAGAGAGAGAGAGAGAGAGAGAGAGAGAGAGAGAGGAGAGACAGAGACAGAGAGACAGAGAGACAGACAGAGAGAGAGAGAGAGAGAGAGAGATGGAGAGAGAGATGGAGAGAGAGACGGAGGGAGAGACAGAGAGAGAGATGGAGGGAGAGAGAGACAGAGAGAGAGAAGAGAGAGAGAGAGAGAGAGAGAGAGAGAGAGAGAGAGGAGAGACAGAGAGAGACAGAGAGAGAGATGGAGGGAGAGAGAAACATACAGAGAGAGAGAGAGGAGAGAGAGAGAGGAGAGACAGAGAGACAGAGAGAGAAAGCCATGTTGCCCAACTGGCCAGTCCCAGTTTGGTCCCCAGTGGGCAGCTCCTTTTGTACTCACAGAGGTTGTTGTTTATCCTTCCTTCTTGAAGAAGACCACAACATCAGGTCATTGTTTGGCTTGCTCTTTGGTCATTGTTTGGGCCCTGATTGGCTCAGAATGAATGTAAGCAGCAATTGTTTCTGTTTTGCCCAGAAACTCAGAGTCTTCCCCTCCCAGATCAATTTTTTTAACTATGTAAAGAGGCCATTTTCTGCCTCATTTCTTACTGAGCCTCAATCACTGAGCGGCATTGCCTCAGTCAACCTGACACCTGTTAAAGACTGTAGTTTGAAAAGGCCAAGGACCCCTTCTGCATCCTGGGCCATCTCCAATTTTCCTGATCTCTGTCTGGCTGCTGGACCCAGATGGCTGTGGAGGAAAGAGTGAGGCTGGTGACTTTGCACAGCCCTCTCTCACTTACATCCAATTCACTTGCATGTCATGGCAGCACCTCCCTGATGTCATGGTCTTCTTCGAGAATGACAGGCAAACAACAGTAACAACAATAATCCACTTTGTGGATAGCCCTTAAATACTTTCTAATTTCTTTCTGGTTTCTCACAATTCCCTAGTAACCTCCGTCTCCTCATTCCTGGCCATTTTACACCCAATGAATAAAAATTAATTTGAATATCAGAGTTGTAGGATTCCAGAAGTCCAGCCACCAGTCAATAATTGAATACTGCCTATAACATCTCTGAAATTTACTTACTCCAACTCAACTGGAAGGACCCCAGTTTTAGCCTTCCCAGAATGCTTGGAGAAGACAATATTCATAGAGGTTATTCATAGAATAACCATTTTTGGTTATTCTAATTGTCAGGAGCACTCATTCAATCTTCACAACAATCCCGTTGAGGTTGGTACTGTTATTCTCCCCATGTTACAGATGCAGAAATTGAGGCAGAGAGCTGTAAATGTCTGAGGTAGGATTGGAACTTGGGTCTATCCACTGTACCACCAAGCTTCCCACCCTTGATTGTCTTAGACTAGAGATGGCACTTAGGCCTCCCTCAAGATTGCATTGGCTCATTCAGACTGTTCATTGCTGCCTTTTGTAACAGGTATGTGAATGGCCACATCACTTAAGAGAGTCTTGTCCCTGAAATCTTGACCCACACCCACTGAAAATCATTTGAAGTGGCAGAAGCCAGACCCATCTGGAAATATTTCTTCTTTCCACATTGTCAGAAATAAGCAAGATCCCAAATCGCCCCTGCAACAGCTCTTACAGTCTGTTACCTATGCACCGAGTTACATCAAAATCACTTGATCAGAACTTCCTTATAGTCACACTGTCCAACATAATCCTTGTTTCTCTTGGGTGACCTCTAGGGGTGATGGGGAGGAACACAGCCAGCGTCACCTCTCATAATCATCCATAAACTTAGTAGTTCCCCATTTAGGCACTACTTGGCTTTTTCTTCAACAACTATCCACTGATGTGCTAAGATAATCAAAGGATAACTAAGCAAAGGGAGGGAGCTTTCCTTTGCCCTTCTACAAAACCAAAGGCAGGGTATCAAGCAGGACTGGGTGAGCTCCTGATCATCGAGTCCCAGAAAATGGAATTGGAGGGGGTCCAGAGAACGGGGTGCTGAGGGATGATCATTTAGGAAGGCAGGCTAAAGAGATTAGGACTGGAAAGATGTTAATAATTGTTGTTTGTCCTGCATTGTCAAAGAGGACCGATGACATCACAGGGTCATGTCTTGACTCACTTTGGGTTTAAGTGAGGGAAGGTGGCATAAAGTCGTCAGCCTCACTCTCTCTTCCACAGTCATCAAGTTCAGTGGTGAGACGAGAGTCAAGACAGCCAGTGATGGCCCAGGAGGCAGTAGATGACCTCAGTGTCTTCCAGATCGGACCAAACTCTAAGTGCTCCACAGTGCCTACTTCAGCAGTCTTCATAGCCCTTAGAACAAATTGTTCTCATCTGCCCATTCCATAGCAGAAGTCTTCACATGCTTGGTGTAGACATCCCCCCAACTCCCAAATGAGGCTGAGGCCCTTTGGTCAATGTCAACCTGGCCTACCTGTCCAATGAGGTGGTTTTATTGGGGTGTAGTTGATGTGCATGCTGCAGCTTCTTCGTAATAATAATAATAATGACAAATTTACTTAGTGAACACCATCAGATGGGATGACATAAGCAAGTGCTTTGCAAACCTGAAAGGGTTCATTAGGGCTGGCTGTCATCATCATCATCATCATCATCATTTTGAATCCATATATTATAGCAACATGCCTGTGAGGTAGGCACCATAGGTATCATTGTTCTTGTTTTGAAATAAAGAAACTGAGGCTCAGACCAGTGAGGTGACGTATCTGAGGTGGGATTCAAAGTCCGGGAGTCAGGTGGCCTGGAATCTGGTGCACTCACTGTCTCCTCAAACAGGGCCTTCCCCCTTTCTAGGACTGTTTCCCCTTCTAAAATGAGGGAGTCAAGCTACATAGTCTCTGATTTCCCATCTAGCTTTCAAATCCGTTCATTACATGATCGCTGAAAATGGGGGGAGGTCAGTCACTGAGAGGGAGACTTCAGTTGGCCAGTAGGAACATTTTTTTACTGATCAGAGCTGGCTGAAAGGGAAGCAGTCAGTCTCAAGAAGTGATGAGCTCCCCCTCACCAGAGATCTGCAAAGAGAGGCAGGAGAGCCATTTAGCAGATATATTGTAGGAGGGATTCTTGCACAGATCCCCCTCGTCTGCTCTTAACGCTGCCCTGTCCCTGGTGTAGACCCTCCTTTCCTCACACCTGGACCACTGCAATGGCTGCTGGTGGATCTGCCTGCCTTAGTCTGTCACCATTCCAGGCCATCCTCCATTCAGTGACCAAAGGAATTTTCCTAAAGCACAGGTCTGATCATGTCACCCCCAACTCAATAAACTCCAGTGGGGCCTTATTGCCTCCAAAATCAAAGACAAAATCTTGTGATAGTCAAAGCCCTTCTTGATCCAACCCCATCCTACCTTTCCAGTCTTCTTACACTTCACTTCCCTGCACGTATATTTCAGTCCAGGGACACCGGCCCCCTGGCTGTGCTAAGAACAGGACAGGCCATCTCTCAGCTCCAGGCATTTTCTCTGGTCATCCCCCAGGCCTGGAAGGCTCTCCCTTCCCCTCTCTGCCTGCTGGCTTCCCTGGCTTCCTTCAAACTCCAGCTGCAGTCCCGTCTTTTGCTAGAAGCCTCTTCCTCTGAGAAGATCCCAGTTTATTCTGCCTTCCGTATCTTGTACAAACATGGCTGTTGGATGTTTTCTCCCCCTTTCGATGTGAGCTCCCAGAGGGCAGGGGTTGTTCCTTCTCTTCCTTTTCTTCACATCTCCAGCACTTAGCAGAGTGCCTGGCATACAGCAGGAGCTTAATAAATGCTCATTGACAATGGATTTGACTAGCTGCTGCTGAAGTCCTTTCCACCTCAGAAATTCTATCTATGATCATGGCAGAGCTGGGATTGGAATCCAGGTCTCCTGATCCCTGCCTATATTGGTTATTCAAAAGAGCAGCCCAACCCATACATGAAAGCATTTCTCTGGGTGTGGTTCTCTCCACCAATATAGATTGCATCCCTTCAGTCTTGGTAGAGGGTTCTAGAGCAAGGATTCTTCATCTTTTTCAAGGGTCATGGACTTCTAACTAAGACTGCTGTGGTCTGTTGCCTACATTCACAATTAAAGTAATTGCTAAATTTTTGTTAGGTTTCAGGCAAAAACAAACATGTCCTTTTTCTCAACCAAGTTCATGCAGCCCCTAAAATTCATCCATGGGGGAGGGAGGGTCACACGAGCCCCTAGGACCCAGTTCTAGAGACTTGTTGTGGCTGAAAAAGATGATTTTCCTTTGGCCAACCTGGTTGGTCAAACCTGAGCCCCACTGCTTAGCACAGCCGGCTGAACCTTAGCCAGCTGACCTTCAGTCCTGTGACAAGGCCAGGATTTGATCAGAAAACCTCTCTTTGGCTCCTGGCAGACAGAAAGCCCTCTACAAATCACCTACTGCGTCAGCCACCTCACGGCCTTGGCAGTCAGGCCACTGGGCATCTCTTGGTACCACCTTCCTTTGGTAGCCTTGGTAGCCACCTTCCTTTGGCTCCTTCTGGGTATCCCTCAGCATGAAGACCTGCTGAGGGAGCAGCTATCTATTGATCTGAGTTTCAGGAAGGCCAGTTCACTGTTGGATAACATCAAACTAGGAGACCAAGGTCATGGCCCCAGGCTTTTTGCTGTTGGCTCCAAGTCCAAATAGGAAAATCATATTAAGTGATGCCCTCAATTCTACCTCAATGTCACCAGATTCCCAGAGACTACACAGGGCACCACAGGAGGAATGCATTCTAATAGCAAAGAGAGGTGATGGAAAGGGGAGAGTCTAAAGTTCCCTTCTACAACATTGAGGAATCAGGGGCTACCCAAGAGGACTCTGAAGAATGGAATGGTGGGAGATCAGCCGTTGGGAAGGAAAGTCAGAGTTGAGAGCAGGAAGAAAAGAGGGGGATGGAGGGCAGAAAGGGAGAAGTGGCATCTTGGACTGGGGAACTCAAAGTAGGCAGGCCACAAAGAGGAGACCTTTATGTCGCGTACCCCAGGCATGGAGTCAGGGCCACCAAGCCTGAAGGGAGCCATCCTTCCTCCAGTGCTTCCCCATTGTCAGAGATGAGGAGCACCCCAGAAGACTGGACCCCTGCAACTCTGTCCTTACCTGATGAGAGCTTCCCCAAGATGTTTTCTAGATGTTTGTCCAGCAACCCAAGGGCACTTACCTCCACAATCAGGGACAGAATCAGATTGACAGCAAGCATGATGACCAAGTAAACCCTCCAAAGGGTGGGTGTGCAGGCAAGCTAGGAGAGACCCAGAAATAGAACCAGTAAGAGACTCATGCATGACGTTAGGAAAGAGAAGCCATGGTCTTCTTGAGGCGGCTTCCCTCAGCTGCTGAGAGCATCCAGAAAAGCAACCTTTTCTTCCTCTAATTCATGACTGTGTTTCTTAAAGGAAACCAGGAAAACTAAGAGATGGGGGTGAGGAGGGAGTGGATTCCAGGCAGCAGGGACAGCCAGTGCAAAGGCCCAGAGGTGGGAGATGGAGTATTTTGGGTGAGGAACAGCAAGTAGACTCTGCTTCACGGTTTCCTAGCTCGCTCTCTTGTACCCTTGTGGCTGATTAGTCTTCCTCAAAAGTGGCTTTTCTCACATCATATCCCCATTCTGGGCCCCACAATGACTCTGTTATTCTTCTGATTGTCCAAATTCCTCTACCTGGCATTTAAGGCCCAATTTGGCCCTATCTCACTTATCCAACATGCTGCTCAACCAAAAATAAATCAGCAAGCATTTATTAAATATTCTGTAAGGTGAGGGCTGGGGAGAGGGAGCTGTGGGCTGAGCATCATGTTATAGCTCAGTCTCTACTCCTTCTGCCTCCGGGAGGCCCTGCTAGGGGAGAGCCTCCTAACAAAATCTGGCCTAAGGGGTGAACGATGGTGAAACAGGCAGAGGGGGCTAGTAGTCACACTTTGAGCAGTCACATCCTCTCTATGCAGGGGATGCCTAGGTCCCCATCTCCAATCCTCAGCTCTTTCCTGAGCTTCAATCCCACGTCACCCCCTACCTATTGAAAATTTCCACCTGGATGACGCAATGGCATCTCAAATGAAACATGCCCAAAATGGAAGTCATCGCCTTTCCTACGTCTCTTCCTAACTCCCTCTTTCTGTGGAGGCACCACAATCCTTCCAGTCTCCCAGGTCTGTACTCTCTGAGTCATCCCTGTTCCCAAATCTGGCTCTTTCTACCTCCACATCTCTCACGTCTTTCCCCTTCACTTACAAAGCCAACCCTCCAGGTCCTCATCACCTCATTGCCCCTGCATGAGTCTCCTTCCTCTCCTACCCTAACCCTTCCTTTTGTAGTCTTCCTCCATTAGAACGGAAGCCTTTTGGGGGTAGAGGCTAGTTTGCTTACTTATATTCTTGTCCCCAGAACATAGCACAGGTGAAGGAAGGTGCCTACTATATGCCAGGCACCGTGCTAAGCTCTGGGGATACAAAAAAACAGCACAATGCCCTCAGGGTACACAGTCTAATGCCTAATAAATGTTTTATCTACCCATCTACCTAGATGATAGATAGATAGACAGACAGAGAGATAATAGATAGATAATGGATAGACAGACAGACAGACAGAGAGAGAGAGAGAGAGAGAGAGATAATGGATAGACAGATTGATAGATAGACAGACAGGTAGATAGATAGATAGATAATAGATAGACAGACAAATAGAATATCACTATAGCCACCTATCCGGCCTCTTTGCTTCAGTGTTCTTTCCATTCCAGCCCATCCTGAACCCAGCAGCCAGTAGCATCCCTAACCCACTCATTGCCCTGCTCAGTAAACTCCACTGCCCCTCCATCACGTCTAAGATGAAATACGAACACTTCCTCAGGCAGTCTGAGCCCTGTGCAGCTTCCCTCTAATCTGCCTTTTCAGCTCTCTTCTGCCTCCCTCCCCCCCTCACACATCCTCCAGGGTCTGTCTTCCCATTCCTTGGCTCTGAGTGCTTGCACAGACTGTCTTCATGCCCCAAACGCCCACCCTCCTCACCTCTAGCTCTTGGAATCCTTTGGTTCCTTCTAAGTTTGGCTCCAGCCCACCCCACCCCCCATGAAGTCTTCCTGATCTCCCAGGTGCCAGCGCTCTTCCTCCTCAAATTACTCTGTGTATGCATGTGTGTATCTACATATACACCCAAATGTGTGTAGGATGTATATGTATGTATTACACATACTTATGTTGCATATATTTACCTGTGTGCATTCTATCAACCCCTATGGAATGTAAGCCTTTGAGGTTGGTGCCTACCAACGTTAGGCATTTAATAGATGTTTGTTGATTGATGGCAGGACATAGACAAGAAATACGTGGAATGGACAAGCATGAAAGGGTTATATCTGCCTCCCTCTTTGGAGGGAGCATCCAAAGGGATGAAATCACAGATCTATGGAAGCATGAGAATGAGGCATCAGGGAATTAGGGGTGATGTTTTTTCCATATCTCGTGTATCTTGATTTCCCTCTGGGGCTTCAAAGGTATCTAAACATTGAAATATGTGGCAGAGGGAAATGTGAGGGAAAGAAGATGCCTGATGAGCATAGCAATTGGCCCTTTGAAAGCAATTTTCAAGAGGTGAAGTGTAAGCAAATAAGAAAAATACATATTCATTTTGTCTGGAATCACAAATGGGCTTGAGAGTTAACATAAAAGGAGCTCTAGGCAAAGCTGTTTGGAAACCAAAGCATTTGAAAAACAAGTTGTCGGGCTTTGAAGGGGGTGAAGCAGGAGGAGGTTTGCCAAGCATGGCATGATCTTTTAGGAGAAAGACTCACAAGATGTAAAAGCCAGGAGAGAAAGGAAGACCAACTGGAGTTCTGATCCTGACCAGCACTCATGACAACTACTGATGGGCCAAGCCATCTGCTGGGGAGGGGTTGGATACAAGAACATTGTTGAGTGCTACGTGGGCAGGTGTCTTCGTGCACCATGTCACAACAGGGCCAGACACATCAGCACGAATGATACTTACATCCATCCGCTGATAAAGATCGGGAATATTCGCAAAGAGAAGGAAAATACATGTCCCCATCTGGACCGCCAACACAAGCACAAAGATATCTGAAGGGAGAAAACAGGAGAAAGCATTTCGGGTTCTGGGTCCCTCTGATATTACTGACATTGGCCATTGGTCCTGGATCACTCCTGACCCAGGTCCCTGGACGTCTGTGTCACATGCTTCACAATGCCCAGCGCTTGGGCAAAAAGCAAAACAAAACACCAAGAGGGTCCTTGATCCTACTCCTTTCATCTTCCTCTGCAACAGCTCTTGTTTATTATTTCCTAGAAATAATTGGAAGTAGCCACATGTAATGTTTGAGCTTTAACAAAGGAACTTGCTTGCATATTTCCAGGCTCTGTGATCTCACTCATGTGGATACTCCATCTCCCAATGCAGATTGAATCTTTAAAATGGTGGTGGCGGGGCTTGGGGGGGGAGTTAGCCAGGTGAACCCTAAGATCTTTCTCCTGCCCTACAATGATGATTCCAGGCCTGTGACTCTTTTTACCTTTAGATGCCTCCAGCAACTCCTTAGGTCTTATCTACTTAGTCATAAATGGGCTGCAGTCTTCATTAGTGGAAGGCAGTCCTGTCCTAGGAGTCCCTAATGCTAATGAAATCCACAGATCCTTTCTGTATTGGGATTCAGAAAGCATATTATTTAATGAATAAAGCTGAAGCTGTTAAGTAATTGAACTGTTTATCAAGATACCCAAGACAATTATCATGAGGCTCCCTCACTCCAGAAATAGCAAGGAAAAATGTTGCTCATTTGTTTGTCTCATAGGGATTTACTAGAAATCATGAAGCACCTCCAGCCATGGACTTCAAGTTTCTTCATGCTGTAAGCAGAGCTATGGAACTCTTTGTGGTTCTGACACATGGACGGACAGTGCCAAAAATACTTACAGTTGGTATAAATGGGCTGTCTGAATGGCTTTCCTTTGGAAAACACCAGTGCGACAATGAGGCAGTTGATGGTCCCCAAGAACCAGACTGTGGTGTTCTCATAGCTCATGAAGCTGTCAGGGCTAACCTTCCCTGATATCATGGGTGAAGTGGCCGTCCTGGAGATGTTTCCCTTTGGTAGGGAACAGGCACTGAAAAGGGGGCAGAAGAGGAACACTCATCAGCTGATAAAAAAAGAGAGCATGGAAGGGGCACTGTCCCAGGCCTCTCAGGACTGAGAGGAAGGCATCTGAGACCCTGCCTTGGCCTTGTGCCATCCTGCTGAGGAGGCAAGGCTGGGCACAGTAGCTAAGAATGAGTGAACATGAATAAGTGCAGAAAGAGAAGCACAGAGAATGAGAGCTTCTGGGGCCAGACAACAGCTCAAGGACACAGAAGAGGAGGGCTTTGACGAAGCCTCCCTTCCTACTCCTCTCTCTGACCCCTACACCAGTGCTAACTGTCTGCGATCAAAAGGACCAAATGAGCAGAATAGGTAGAACTCCTTGAGGGCACGAACTGCTACTTTTTTCCCTCTACCTCAGTTTCCCTATCACAGTGTCTTGCACCTAGTGCACACTTGAGGAGTGTTTCCTGAATTGAATTGCCATGAAGAATATTTGTCTTCCCACATTCAAACACATGTCCTGGGTGTTTCCCAAGCAGGACACTGTTTCCCACTTTGCCCATGTGGGGCCCACATCTTGAGCATATTGCCTCCCCATCTCTGCCGCTCTGAGCCAGTCCCTACCTTGACGAGGCGAGGCTCACATGACACCTCCTGCCAAGGTGTTTCCTGATCATCCAACTATTAGCCCTGTCTCCCTCCCCAATGACTTTGGACACACTTTGGGGTTTACTTCCACGGGTGCTTCTTGTCCCACCCATCCTTCTCCTCAGAGTAAAATGGAAGCTTATCGAGGGCAGGGGCTGCTTCCAGTCTGTCTTTGCATTGCCAGAACCTACCACAGGGCCTGGCACACAGTAGACACTTAATGGATTTCTTGTTGAATTGCATTGCATTGCATTGAATGAGAACGTACCTGAAGACATCGGTGGCAGAGTACCAGGGCTGCTCCCGAACAAGGATGAAACCCAGCAGGTGCATGGCCAGGCTGAAAAGCATGTTGAGAAACACAGACGAGAGCAGTGGAGGGGAGACTAGCCTGCCCAGAGGTCTGTAAGGAACCAGCTTGGGGTAGGCGGCATTCAAACTCACTGCAAGATAAAATGGGAAAAATCTCTTCTGAAGTACTCCTACTATGTGCTAGGCACTGGACTAGGCTTTGGGGATTTGAAGGGAAAAAATGAAGTGGCCCTTGCCCTCAAGGGGCTTACAGTCAGTCCACTGGATTTCAGACTACTATATTCCATAGAGAAGGGAGCAAATGATAAGACAGGCCAACCAGTGCACCTCACTCCCATCCCCATCTTTAGTTTCTTGTACATTCTTTTTTCTTAATGACTACTCCTTTGGTTTTCCTTCCTTTTCAGAATCAGCCCTGCTGGAATCCAATTGCACTTCTGATGGGCTCCTAGGGCATTGGCTACTGAAGAGGCAGCCCCACTAGGACAATGTAGTCCTCTGGGTAGAGTGGAAGGAATAGAATAATGACTTCACAGGCAGAAAGTTTTACATGTCGCTTACTTGTTATCCCAATGATGGTAGTGATGGCCAGATCCTGGAACAAAAACTGGTAATTTGAAAGGCTATTTGTTTTCTGAAAAGAAAAAGGGAAACATTGGTGAATGCCATCTCTTGCCATTAGGAAAAAAAAGCTAACATGATTGGAGCTGCTAAATGTATTCCCAGAAGACCAAATGGCTAGTTTTCAGCCGGGAGCTTGTCAAGGGAGGTGGCAAGAGGAGAAGCACTCCAGTCACCCTTCAGTCTCAGGGTCAATGAGTGGCATCGGTGGTGGGAGGACTGGCAGTGCCCATCTGTGACACTCCAAACAAAAGGGCAGCGGCCTGTTGGCACAGAGCCCTGTCAGTGCTGAGCCCTTATGTAGAGGCCATTTGTGCCCCAAGATGAAACTCTGCCAAGAATGGAATGTAAACGGAGCCTCGGATCAGCTCAGCCCTTGTTCTGTCCCCTCTTGTGTATCACTGCTGTCAGGGGCACAGGGGAGCACTCTGTCTTCAATGAGGATGTAATCGGAGTGCTGAGGCCTCATCTTCCTTTCCTACATGGAAAACAGAAATGTTCCTACTGCCCTTTCCGGAGATGAGTTTTTGTACATTTGGTTTGGGGATCACAGGATAGTGAGTGGCTGATAGTGAGCATGTGTTCACTGCCCTTTAATATCTCGGAGTCCTAAGACTTTTTAAAGTTAAGGTCATGTTTTCAACAAATGACCTCCCTTTCTCATGGCTGTGGCCAATAGTTGAAAAACACAATAGATGATTGGAGAGTGATGCAGGAGCTCCCACCCGGAATAACTCCACCCTCAGCGTCTAGAAAGATTCGACTCAGCTGAAGTGGCTTTTTGACAAAAGCTCAGACTTCCTAGAATATATCCATGAGTCAGGTTCGAAAACAGCCTCCATGTTTTCTTTTAATCTTATTTTGAATCTTATTTAACTCCAAAGTTAGAGCTGTTTAGCCTCCATGGTGCAGTCCAAGGTTATCCCACGAAAACCAGAGCCACAGAGCTGTTTTCTCAACCCAGGCATCTGGGTGCAGATGGAGAAACAATATGGTGCAATGGTCAGTGTGCAGAGTTTGATCGCCACTTCCAACACTTCTAATTGTAAGACCTTAGGCAAGTCTTGCCTCTCTGGGCCTTGGTTTCCTCATCTGAAAAATGATGGGTTGGACCAGCTGGCCCCCCCAGGTTTCTTCTAGACTCAGGATCCTCTATGTCTATGCCCTGCCATGGAGGAGGCCACATCCTCCTTCTGTCTCTCACTGGCCAACGGGATGGGGTCCACATCATACCCAATAAAGCAGGAGCACGCCGATGTACTGAATCATGCTGTACAGAGCCATGTATTTAAACATACAGAATGAGGTAACCAGCGCCGCACGTCCTTCCCTATTTAAGAAAAAGAAATGGGAGGTCAGTCGGTCAGTCAGGAGGACATACGCAGGGGGAGGTTGCTGGAGCATCGTCTTCCCAGGCGGGCTGGTCATCTTCCCGGGGGTCTGGGTGGGACCCTCACTGGCGGCCTTTCACCAAGCATTAAGTGACCTCTTGCTGAGCATGACTCGATCATAGAAGGTCAATGTGGGTTGGGCTAGAGGGACCACTGACAACATCTCCAACCTTGAAGCTGTGACCTTGTGAGTCTGTGGGGCTGTCTGGGGGCCATGGGTGCCATTGTGACCTAAGGACAAGTGTGTCGGTGCCACTGGGGAGGGAGCCCAGCAGGGTAGAAGATGATCGGGCTTCATGCTCTCCCCCATAGCTCTCATCTCTACAGCCTCAACCACAGGCTGGGCTATCTCTGTATCAATTAGCAATGACAGAAAGAGGCAGGTAGGGCAGTGCTAAGGGCACTAGAGGGAGTCAGGAGAGACCCAGGCTCCAATCCTGCTTTGGGCACTGACCATGGCTCCTTCACTGCAGCCTCCATATCTTCATCTGTAAAATGGGGGAGCAATGGTTATCACTCCAACCCATTAGCATTGCTATATGTAGCAAATGAAGTAGTGGCCATAATGGACTACGTGATGTGTTATCATTGACACAATTAGAGCTGGCTTCCAGGAAAGGATGCTGGGGAACTCTTGCCTTCTGGATTCTGTAGCGTCACATGCCCTATGATCACATGGTTCTCCCCAGTGATATGTATGGCCAAACAAATAATAGTCATTTTTACAAATGTGCACATTTTTTGCAGGTAAGATGGAAATTCTTCTTTTTAGTTATCAAATCTAATCTTTTAAACTTTTATGGACACAATACGGGAGTTGGCATGATTTGGTGAAAAGAATGCTCCTTACGGAGCCAGGCTTAATTCCCGGCTCCGCTCCTTAGGATCTGTTTGGCCTGTGAGTGCCCTCACCTCCGCTGACCTTAGTTTCCTCCTTTGTAAAATAAGGGGGTGGCCTCAGTGGCCCCCATGAGCCCTGCCAGCTCAAAGATTACACTGTGTAATGGCTTTTCAGGAATGGCTCCACTTTGGGTGGTCTCTCAGTCTTTGCAATTGACATTGGGGCCAGGTCAATGGGGATTCCCTTCAGGCATTCCGTCCTCCTTGTCAATGAGTCAAACGACCCTCAGCCTGCGAGACTGAGCCTGAGAGACAGTCTGAAAATATCCTGGCCCTTCCCTCTCCCTAGAAAGGGAAATACTTATGATGCACTTTCTAATGAAGCCGCCTGGGGGGCTCAGCCCCCTTCCCTCCCTCCTCACCTGCAACCAGTGACCTAGAAGGCCCCAGCCACAGATGCAATTCAATGTTATTTGGAGCCACTTTAAAACTAGAACAGAGCCAGGGGCAGAGCCCACTTCAGAGTGGAGCCTTGCTGGGTGGTTGGGAAGCTGGTAAATTCACTCTGGCCTAAATCACTGCTCCAGAGAGAACTCAGGAGGACTTGGACAAGGCTTCAGCCAGGCAAAAGCTGTAGTTCAGACGGAGGGACTGCACCCCCAGAGGAGGGCATGACTTGCCTCCTCTCCAGCTTTCAGGGAGATCAGGGAACCATATGGACCCAGAAAAATTCTCCTACTGCCTAACCAGTTGGCACATTCCCCTGAAACTCATAGACGAGACTATGCTGAAGAGAGTGGCACCCAGAACCGGAGCTGGGAGACCTAGGTGTTGACCAAGATTTGCGACTAGGAAGCTGTGTAACCTCAGGCAAGCCTCTGCAACTCCACGAGCCTCAGTCTTTTCATCTATAAAATGGGGATGGTAATAAGCAAGCTGCCAACTTTACAGTGTTGTTAAATAAAAAAGAACTTCGGCATGTGATAGAAATAGGAGTTGTGATTAGGTTTCTGAGCTCCCAGCTCTGTCTTGGGTTGCATGTTAAAGGAAGGATCTGAGAGAGCAACCAGCAGCATGGCAATGCTTATCCTAGTGTAATTTAGGTCAGGTGTCCGACGAGGGAAGAGGAGCAAAGTTAAGCATCATTGTAAAACCTAGAGAAAGGATGGCTGCTTCAAGCCCCTGGAAATGCAGAGGGGAAATCCCCTCTCAATCAGGCCCGAAGGAACCTTATTAAATAAGACTCATTCATCCAGCAAAATAGCCCAAAAACTCAGCCTCGTTCTATGAACGTCCCTGAAAATCTTGGGCCATTCCCATGTCTTGCTGGCTCTTTAGAACCGGGTGGCATGACCACCCAGGTGAAGCCAATGGGTTTGGATGGAGCACAGCCACCAAGTTGAACGCCTGGAGCCGCTTCTGCTCTACTTCCTGCCCTTCCCCCTTATGACCACGTGGGCTGGGGTTGGGAAACCCAAAGGAAAGCAGGGATTTGGGGAAGAGCAAACTTACTTAATGAGGTGGGGCACACATTCTATATTCGGGGTTTTGGAGGTGAATGGGGAAGCCACGGAGGCCTCTTGTTCAGACAGGGAAATGCCTGCATGAGCCATTTTCAAAGCCTGAAATGCAAACATTTGGGTTTCATTCACAAGTCAGTGTCCCCTATTCAAGGTATATGGGCAGCACCAGTAATCTGGGTGACTGACTCAGACAGTCTGTTCTTTTCTTCTCCTCTAACCCCGATCTGAGCCTGGCTGCTCCCCTGCCTGGAATGCGCCCCCTCCTCCCCTTGGCCCTTAGAACCTGGAAGGTTCAGCTCAGGGACCTCCTCCCCAAGGAGGCCTCCCCTGATTCCCCCTAGTTAGTGGCACTGTCTCCTTCAAGTTAGCTTGCATTTCTTTCTCTGTGTGCCTGTCATTCCCCTCAATAGAGTGTGAGCTTCTTGAGGTCGAGGACAATCATTTCCATCTTTGTGTCTCTAGCGCTTAGGCAGCTAGGTGGCACGATGGAGAGAGCGCCAGGCCTGGAGTCGGGAAGACTCGTCTTCCTGAGTTCAAATCCAACCTAAGACACTTATAGCTGTGTGACCCTAGGCAAGCCACTTACCCTGTTTGCCTCAGTTTCCTCTGCTGTAAAATAAGCTGGAGTATCTTTGCCAAGAAAACCCCAAACAAGGTCATAAAGAGCTGGCCATGACTGAAAATGACTCAATAACCTCTCTAGCACCGAGTATAGTGCCTGGCACGTGCTTCATCTGAGGGTTAGAGATTTCTTGTTAAAAACATATTTGATAATTGTACTTAAATGTAACTGGTTCCTTTATGACCTTACATATTTTATTTTACGGCTTTGCCAGACTAACTAGGTGCCAGAGTGGTCCCTGGCACAAAAAAAAAAAAGACTCAGCATCACTGTAATAGCAGATGCTTATAAAAATGTTTGTTAAATTTAAATGAATTTAGTACCAATTAAAAAAACAGAAAACCTTCTCCAGCCCTTCTTAATTTCTATGGTTTCTCTCTATTCCCTATTTATACTGTATATAGCTTGCTTCATATACATTTCTTTGCATGTTGTCTCCCTGTTAGATTATAAGCTTCTTGAGGGCAGGGACTGTTTTTTTGCCTTTTTTGCATCTCTAGCATTTAGCAACATGCCTGGCACACAGTAGGTGCTTAATAAATGTTTATCAATTGATTAATGATGTACCTATAATGCAGTAGGCAAGATACAAAGTCAGAAATGAACAGTTCCTACCTTCAAGGAGCTTACATTCTATGGAGGTCTAAGTGGGAGATGAGCACACAGGTAAGGAAATACAAAATATGTGCAGAATAAATATAAAGTCATTGGAGAGGGGAAAGGGGATTGACTTTAACTGAGTTGAATCCATGAAACCTCAGTGGGAAAGGAAGCATGGGGATAACTAACTCTCAGAGTGGAATCAGGGGCCCTTATTGGGGCCAGCTCTGTCTCTGACTTCCCAGTACTCTAGAGTTTGGTGGACGTGGACATGTCAATATCAAGGCTCTGAAGCACCTCCTTGTGATTCGGACCAAGGCCATGCCAGGAGCGTGCCCTCACTTACCCCACAGTCATTGGCTCCGTCGCCACACATACCTACAAAGTAACTACAGAGGGTAAAATCAGTAGATGCCTTAGCACCAAAACACCCTGACCTGGGAGTGCCTCGAGTTCAAGGATGCTAGGGTGGGAGCACACAGCAAGATCACAGAGGCTCGGGCCTGGTAACTCCAAGTTTATTTTCAGGGAGTTAGTCTAAGAGCCTGGAGCTGACCAGGCAGCAGCATTAGTCAACAGCCCAGGCAAAGGACAAGAGGGCTGGGGTGCTCACCCTGACTAAGGGCTTCATATGGGTTCCTGGACAATTCACCTAAGCCTTCTCAGGCTATAAGTTGGGATCCTGAGATAGAATTTGCAAATTCCAATCCAGGACCACAAGGATGAACATCTAGGGGCAGAAGCATGACCAGCACCCAGCTCAGAAAGCACGTCTGAAGCCACGACGGTCAAAGACAGCAGCCCGGCCCGAGCATCAGAACCACATGCCACTGCCCAAGGAAGACTTCCCCCTGGAATCCTATCTCACAAAACCAAATTCATCTCGAGCCCCCAGTGTAGAAGCCAAGAGCCCAGTCTGACCACACCACTGCCATTTCAAGGCGCATTGCTCATTCTTCTAACTCTCGGAATGGCCCCAAACCACTTTTTTGTGTTAAGCAATAAAACACCCAATGAGTTTGCTGCACAAGTGGGAGAGCTGTGTGTAATATGTGAGTGTGTGCCAAGCAGCAGCTCACTAGCGTGAGTCAAGTACAAGATCAGAAAGGTATCCATGGCTGGCCCATCTTCCCAGCTGAGTCTGAGGCTGTCAGGCTCATGTGACAAGAGACACCGTGCTTCCTGAGGGTGCTGGCCTGGGACTGGGGGTGGGAGACAGAGATCCTCTAAGAAACAAACACAGGTCTATTTTCAGGACTAATGACTGAGACTTCCCCACATTCACACCAGCTCCTGCTCAGCAGCAGGAGACCCAGAGGAAAAGCTAGAGTGGGATGAGGCTCCAGCCAGAGGCCTCCTGCTCTCCAAAGAACCTACTCCAGCTTCTGAAACTCTTCAACCAGCTTGGATTTCTGCCCAGGAGACATTCTGGCAAAAACTGTCGCATTCATCAGGATCTGTTAAAAAATATATATATAAATGGAAAGAGTTCATCACATCAAAAAGACATAGCAAGGAAGCAGGAGGATGCCATATCAGGAGACCGGGTTGACAATTGGCACAAATTAGATTGAAGTTCAAGTCTGCAGTTAATCTGTCTTCACTTGAGACTGAAATAGAGATTTAGACTCTGTTCATAAGCATGAGACCACTTTCCAGCATAGGAGTTCATCATCTCTAATCTCTCTACAAGTCACTGAGTCACTATTTTATGATTGCAACAGAGTGGAGATTTCCTGGGAGACAGATCTTGTTCCCTCCATTGGCAAAAGCCAGGCACCCAAACACGATGAGGTCCTACTGGAGCCCTGTATACAGTAAGTACTTAACAGATGCCCAACCCACTTGAGCCCCCTTAAAGTATACAGAGGGTATACAGAGAGCATCCCCTTAACCACAGCTGACATTTCTAAAGTACTTTAAGGCTGGCAAAGTACTTTACACATAGTGTTATCTCATTTGACCCTCATGACAACCCAAGCATTTTCTAAACTTGTCCCCCATTCCTAGAATGCTCTGCCTCCTCCAATCAGACTATGGACCCTCTCGGCCTCTTTTGATTCCCAACTTTCACAGGAAGCCTTCCCTAACCTCCCTGAATTCCAGTCCTTTCCTTCTTTAATTAGTTTCTATTTATCCTGTATAGAACTTGCTTTGCATATATTTGTTTGCATGTTGTCTCTCTCTTCAGATTGTATGCTCCTTGAGGGCAGGGACTGTCTTTTGCCTCTTTCTGTATCCTCAACACTTAGCAGAGTACCAGGCATATAGTAGGTGCTTAATAAATACTGATTGAGGGGGCAGCTAGGTGGCACAGTGGATAAAGCACCGGCCGTGGAGTTAGGAAGACCTGAGTTCAAATCCGGGCCTCAGACATGTAACACTTACTAGCTGTGTGACCCTGGGCAAGTCACTCACTCCCAATTGCCTCACCAATAAATAAATAAATAAATAAAAGAATGCTGATTGATTGATTGGTTAATTGATTCATAGATATCATTGACCCTATCTTACAGATGAGGAAACTAAGGTTGAAAGGTTAAGTGACTTGCCCAGGGTCACACAGCAATACGTATCTAAAGCAAGATTCAAACTCAGGTCGTCCTTGCTACAAAGACTCATGCTTTATCATCCATTATACCAACTAACTGGCTCAATTGTATCAATACAAGCTCCGCTTCATACAGTAGCGTAAGACTGGTGAAGTGCATGGGGTCAGTGAATTACCATTTAACACGAAAGGTTCGCTTGGGGGAGTTAGAGGACAATGAGCCCATCGGCTGGCCCTGGGAAGTTTGGCTCACACTGAGGTCACTGATCTCTGGTGGCTGGGTAACCTGTCAGACACCAGCCAGAGCTGAGCAGAAGGGTGCAGGACTGCGAAAGAGACAAGCTCCCGCAGAGAGACAGTGGTTCTACTCTAAGAGGGGCCATCAGAACTGGAACAGTCGGAGCTTCATCAAACTTCCCTGGTGGTCATAGGCCAGGAAGAAAAGGATTTGGCCATGAAATGAGTGAAGACAATGTAAACCCTCACCTACAACAGGCCAACGTGCATTCAGATGCATGTCTCCTCAAGGGGGGCCTCACTGATCATTCCTTTCTTTACTCTGCACAGCCCTGCCTCACTCAAATCCAAGCCAGTCGCAAGCCATGACCTTGCCTTCCTGATGACATTGGTCTTCAAGAGCAAAGGACAAACAAGAACCACGCGAACATTTTGTCTTGCATCACTTTCCTCCTGCTCTCAGTCTCCCATCTCCACGCCTTTATCCAGGCTGTGTCCCATGCCTGGAATGATTCCTCCTCACTGTCACATTTCAGAATTCCTTGTTTCCTTCAAGTGCACTCAGTACAAATGCCCCCTTCTGCAAAAGGTGTTTCCTGGTCCTTTCACACTCACCTTCTGGTGCCTCATCAATGACTTTGGATCTATTTTGTATCTTTTTTGTACGTACCTATCTATGAAGGCGTCTTGTATTCTGTATTGATTATAAGCTCCCTGAGGTCAGGGAATGGTTATTTTTGTCTTTTTATCCCTAGCATCTAGCACAGTGCCTAGCACATCTAATCCAATCCAATAAACATTGATTAAGCACCTACTATATTCCAGGCACTGTCCTTAAGAATCATGTAGCATATAGTAGGTGTTTGCTAAATGTCTCTTGATTCATTGATTGCTCTCCTCTTGAGCAGACTCCCTTTTTGTCCATGGCCCTCCCTGTGGCTTCTTTGTCTCTTGTTCTGGATGAGTGTACTTTTGATCAGTAACGTGATTCACTCACCAATGGAAAGCTTGAGCTCCTTGGAGCTACAGAAAGACACCTGGCATTCAAAGATCCTGAAAATCAGTCCCAACCTACTTCTCCTCTCAGAGCTCCCACTACTCCCCAACATAAACCATCTATTCAGTCCTACTCAATGTAGCCAGAACAAGTTATGTTCGTTCTCAATTTAATGCCTTTTCTTATGCTAATTGATTCCAACTTCTATCACCTCCAAGTTCCTTTGTTTTTCTATTCCACTTTTCCAAATCCTAACCATCCTTCAAGACTCGCCTCAAGTCCCATTCTTGCTCAATTGTTCAAGTCAATGGTTATCACCCCATTCTCTGCACTGATCAAATACTCACCTTCTGCACCTCTCACTTGGGCCTTCCATCCCATGATGCCCTGCACTCTAACTTAACTGCTTCACATATATACCATATGCCCTGGGTCTTTAATCAGATTGCAAACCTCTAGAAAACAGAGCAATGGCAAGGATTCCCTTTGTGTTCCTTCAGGACCTAGGACAGTGCAATCTAAGGCCTCACATCAACAAACATTTGTCTGATGATTGCCAAGGAATAAAACGACGTAAAATAACAGGAAACTGCCCAACAGAATTACACCATGTAGGTAATCTCTCTAATGATTCAGGACCCACTGTTTTAGTGTTCGGAATCGAGTCAGGGCTGTTCACCACACTCTGAAAACTCTCAAGTTGGCTGACATCTTTTCTAAAATGTAGTGCCCAGCATTAACCCCAACAGAATGCAGAGGAGGTATCCCCACTTTGTTTCTGGAAGCTATGTCTGTGTTAATGTTGCTCTAGTTTTATTGCTTGTCGTATCCTTGCTAATTCACGTCAAGCTTGCAAACCCCCCAAACGTTACACTGATGCCTAGAGACGCCTGTCTCATCTTGGGAAGTTGATTGTTTACACCCAAGGTCATGACTCTACATTTGCCCCAAATACTTTCATCTGATTCTATTAAGACTATTATTGTAGGTTATTAGAACCTCTTGGGACCCTGACTTTCACCCCATGTGCAATCTCTCCCTCTTAACTTTGTGTCACCTGTACATTTGCTCAAAATGAAACCTGTGCCTTTGTCCAACATCACTGAACTGGCAGATACCCCAACCTACTAACCCATTTTCAAAGGATGTCATGCTGCGAGTGAAATCAGTCATGGAAACACTGTGAATCTAGTCCCCAGACTTACTTTTGGCAGCAGACTGCTGAAATGTTGGCTTATCACCTGATAGGATTTCCCAGTCATGGCAAAATGATAACTTCCTTCTTCATCTCTGGGTTTGCTGACATCTTCCCCGATATTAATATAACTGTCCTGCAAGCCAGGCCATGGTTATTTCTGAACTTGCAACTGAAAACATTAATTGGTCAAAATCATAAGCACCTTCATAGGAGCATGATGGAAGCAGAGTAGGGCAGCTTCATGTTCCTTCTCAGCCCTCCTCTCTCCAGGTGCCCTATGTCAAGCTCCCCTTGCTGGATGAACTCACACACTTACAGAATGGAAATAGCAGTTCTCCCACTGTCCCACCAGGCCCTGGGCATCCCCAAATGACATTAGCTTAGCCAAACAGGAGTGTGGACATTAGGTTCTCACTAGTATAGCTCTAAGAAGGACAATTATCACCCCTCCCATGATATTCTTAGATAACAAAGTGCACCAGCACTGGACTTAGAGTCAGGAAAAAGTGGGTTCAAATGTCACCTTAGCTGTGTGACCTTGGGCAAGTCACTTGACCTTTGGGGGCCTCCATTTCCTCATCTGTAAAAGGGAGACTGGACTCAATGAGCCCAAGGTTCCTTCTAGCTCTAAACCAATGGTCCTCCTCTCCTGGTCAATGCAGAGCGCATCCAGAGTCTGCCCAAGGGAAGACTCACAGTATTCTAGTTTTCTAGACTTGATTCTCCCTGCCCAGCTCAGTGTGGCCCCACAAGAAGACAGAAATGGGAAAGTAACAACATTTAAACATTTTCTGTGGAAAAAAAAATCGGTTCTGATTTTCCAGGGCATCAGCATCTCAGCTGCACCCTAGCTCGCCTTTGGCTCAATGACCATTTGGAAACATGAGAAATAGTGGCAATGACTTTTCTTTTACCTGACCTCTCTGGCACAATGCACATACTTCTTTAGAAATAAGGATGGTAGGGTTTTTTTTTCTAGCAGTGGAAAAAATTGTACACCTGGGATACCTCTTATGATTGTGCACACACAGTACATGGCATGTAGTAGGTGATGAGGAAATATTTGCTGCCTAATGGACTGTGATGGAATGGAATTAGATGGAGGATTGTAGGACCCAAAATTAGAGTCAGGGGAGAACAAAGACAAAGTCAATCCCAATCTCCTTCTTTTTTAGATAAAGAAATGGAGGCCCACAAAGCTGCACTGACTTGCTCTCATTTGTTCAGGTAAGAAGGGGCAGAGTCAGGATTTGAACCCTGATCCCCTGGTTCTAGATCCAGCATCCTTCCCTTTCCACTTTACTGCCCTGCCTTTGGAGGTCACGCACAACCCCTTTGGCAGCAGGGCTGGGAGCAGGGGTCACTACAGAATCTCCCGAGACATTCCATGGAACTGTACCCACCCTGGTGTCACAGGCCTTATCTACTGGTCCGAAAGTGTGGACTCTCTCCACTTACCTGGTCTCTGTAGCCAGCGTGTTTTCTGTCTTCCAGCAGTTTCCAAGTAACTGAGGCTGGTGAGGATCCATCAGCCTCATTGGCTTCGATGAGAATGACTCTCAGACTTTCAGCGATCATCCCTGATTTCTTGGCCACAGTGACTGCAGTCTGCAGGTTGTCACCTGTAAACATCAGCCGCAGAATCCCTTGGCACTCCCGCCTTTGGGCAAAGGGATGGTGTGTGATGTCTCCCAGGTTGAGGGGATGATGAGGGAGAGATTGCTGGGGCATAGAGACCAAGGATCACAGGTGTAGATCTGAAAGGCACCTGGACCCAAGACTTGGACCAGGGCTGGGAGATGGTGGGAGTGGGGAGAGCAGCTCCTCAGGGTGCCTGAATCATTGGCAGCTGCTCCTTGGCACTTGCTGAGCTCTTTCTATTTAATACCACAAGTAATGATGATGTGCCAGGTGCTGCAATGGGCACCAGGGATAAAAAGACAAAGCCAAATAGCGCCTGCCCCCCAAGAGCTTATGCTTTACAATGATAATGACAAGAGAGCCTGGCAAGCCTCAATAGGTGGGAACATCATGGAATGGTTTTGAAAATGCCTTGGCCCACAAGCCGGTCACTGTTTGTGATTATGGAGGCCCTTGGCTCCTTTCTCAGTGGCCCCCCAGCAGGCTCCATGGCCCCTGCCCTTAACAACTTTACAAGAAGTGGGCAGAAGAAACAGGTGCATCACCAACCTAGGGTTTCCTGTGTCTCCGTCAGTCAGTCAACAAATGTTTATCAAGCATGTGTCAAGCATTGTGCTAAGTTCTGGAGATAGAAATAAAGGTAAAAGACAATCCCAGCTTTCAACGAGCTTGGAGTCTAATGGAGACAAAATGTAAACAAGTGTGTACAAACAAGATCTGTACAAGATGAACTGGAGATGATCCACAGAGGAACAGCACTAGCCTTAATGGGGATAGGCTGCACTCGGAAAACCAAGTGATGCAGATGAAGAGGAAGAGGACTCCAGGCATGGGGGACAGCCAATGAAAATGCCCAGAGCCGGGGAGAAACGTCAAGAGATCACTGGTACAAGGAGAAGGCTAAGGTGTAAGAAGATTGGAAATGTAGAAGGGTCCAGGCTATGAAGCCAAACAGAGGATTTTATATTTGAACCTGGATGTGATAGAAAGCCAGAAGAGTCAGCTGAATGGTGGAGGGAGATGACATAGTCAAACCAATCTGACAAGTGAATAAAAGATGGATTTGAGTGGAGAGAGATTTGAGACAAGTAAACCTACCAAGAGCATGAAGAGATGAGGGTATGCACCAGCTAGAGTCAGGGTCAGAGAACAGAAGGGGGATAGTTGGGGGATGTTGCAATGGTAGAATTGACAGGACTTGGCAGCTGAATGGATCTGGGGGTGAGAGTTAGGAGAAGACAGTGATACTCAGGTTGGGAGCCTAAGGAACTGGGAGGATAGTGGTGGCCTCTACAATAAGAGAGAAGTTCAGCAGAAGGGAGAGTTTGGGAGGAAAGATAATGAGTTCTGTTTGGGATATGTTAAACCTAAGATGTCTAATGAGACATTTAGAAACGTAAGATGAGACATTCAGATCAAAGCTTGCAGTAGTCAGTCAATGATGTATGACTGGAGGTCAAGAGGAAGGTCAGTTTAGACAAAGAGGAGAATCATGAGCATAGAGATGGCAGTTAGAGCCACAGGAATTTATGAGATCACCAAGTGAAATAGTATAGAAGGAAAAGAGAAGAGGGCTCAGGACTGAGCCTTGAGGGACACCCCCAGCTAAGGGTGCTGGGAAATGTTTAACAAGCAGCTCCCTGAAAAAGGAATGACATGCTCTTAAGTTTTATCTGCTTATTAACATTTTCTCTATCATTTTCTCAAATTTAGATAATCAACAAAACAATAAAAAGCCCTAATTTATAACATTTGCCATCTTTTGAGGGGTAAATACACTGAAAATTTAAGAATTGGCCTTTGTGAAACAGTCCAGGTTAATTCTGGTAAATCCCTGCATTAACAGGTAAGACTTACATGAAGAGCCAGCAAGAGACTGAGCAGTCAGAGAGGCCAGAGATGGGTCAGAGAGGTAGGAGGAGAACCAGGAGAGAAGAATATCCTGAAAACCTGGAGAGAAGGGAATGTCTAGGAAGAGACAGTGACCAGCAGAGCCAGAAACTACAGAGACATCAAGGAGAAAGAGAATTGACAAAAAGCCACTAGGAGACCCTGGGTAACTCTGGAGAGAAAAGTTCCAGCTGAGAGATGAGGTTAGAAGCCAGACTGTAGAGAGTGAAGAAATGAGTGAGAGCAAAGGGAGGTGAGGCATTGGTTGCAGGCCATCTTCTCCAGGAGTTTAGCCAGAAAAGGGAGAAGAGATAAAGTTACAGGGATGGAAAGAGATGTGCAATGTCTGTTGGCAGCAGAAAAGCAAATAATAGAGTGAGTTAAGATTCCCGTGAGAGCAGGGATGATAGAGGGGGAAGCTGCTAGCAGAGATGGAATGGGATCACTTGTGCAGGCAGACAGGTTTTCCTTGGCAAGAAGAAGGACCACCTCTTCATGGAAAATGAGGGTGAAGGAGGATATAGTGGCAGATGGCATCTGAGGAATGTGAGATGAGGAGGAGGAGGGGAAAAGAGGGAACTCTCAGTGAATGACCTCAATATTTTCAGTGAAATAAGTTAACAGGCTCTGATTTGGAGGGGAAAGGCCCATTTTTCCAGGGACAACCAGTAGTCATGAGTGCACACAACCTGACTTTGGAAGCCCAGACTCCTCTGTACCTGTGACCATCACTGTCCGTATATTGGCAGAGGTGAGCTCCTCCAAGACTGGCTTGGTCTCTTCCTTCAGGCAATTCTCCAAGATCAGGAGACCCAGGAATGTCAGGTCTGATTCCACCTTCTCCCTTGAAGTGTGTGAAAGAGTGAAAAGAAAAAAGAAATGTCTTGAGCTCTAGCAGACAAGCTGTGAGAGAGCCTCATATTTCACAAAGCAAAAAGACAGAGACAGAGAGAGAGAGACAAAGAGACAGGGACAGAGAGAGATGAGTGAGGGAGACATTTAAAAGATCGATTGTTCTCTGGTCAGGAAGATTCACTATTCTCAGTGAATTTGCTTTAGTCTACAAGAGAAGCTGGAGAACCTTTTGCCATCTCTAGGGGTTAGCCTGGCTTTTGCTGCCATGGAGTCTTAGCAATCACCCACCTACAAGAAGTTCTAGCTCTAGTATTAACCACAGCAGACTCTAAGAGAGATTCAGAAATATGAACACCAGCAGATATAAGGCCAGAACCAAAGTAACCAGCCATCCCTCAACCAAGACATTCTCTATCCCTATCTTTTTTTTTTTTGCTTTTTGGTGAGGTGATTGGGGTTAGGTGACTTGTCCAGGGTCACACAGCCAGTAAGTGTTATGTGTCTGAGGCTGGATTTGAACTCAGGTCTTCCAGATTCCAAGGCCAGAGCTCTATTCACTGCCCCATCTAGCTGCCCCCATCCCTATCTTTCAATGTCCTTAAGGCATTTCCATTCTGCTCAAGGGGTGTGTGTGTGTGTGTGTGTGTGTGTGTGTGTGTGTGTGTGTGTGTGTGTTCTCACACACAGCAGGGCATCAGAATCTGACATCCATCACAAGAACATTTTCAAGGTCTAGCACACGACCAACCTGCCAGGGAAGCCATTAGCCCTGGATGGTGGGAAGCAAACCTTTCCTGATTGATTTCTCTGAGACCTGAAGATCTCTGGCAGCCAGAGGCACCAGGCATCACCTGCTGCCTGGAAGTAAGAGTGACTGTAGGGAACAGCAGGTGGGAGGGCAGGAGGGAGGAAGCACAACTAAAGAGAAATCTTTAATGCTGGCATGTGGGAGAGGGGGGTGCCCCCCACCTGCAATGTTCTCCTCCTCCCCACCTGCCCCCTCCCTCTCCTCCTTCCCCTGCCGCTCCTCTCCTCTCTTCTCTCCTCTCTCCTCTCCTCTCCTCTCCTCTTCTCCTCTCTTCTCTCTGTCTCTGTGATTTTGCATATACATTTCCTCCTGCCACACACATACACTTATACTCACACACTCACACTCACATACACACTCACTCATACTCACACACACTCATAAATACATACACACACACACACAAAAGATAAACTCCTTGCAGACAGAAACTGTTTAATGCCACATTTCTTCTCCCCCAGCACCCAGAACACTATCTGGCACCTGGTAGATGCTTAATCAGTGTTTGGCAAGTTGAACTGAAGGGCTCCCAACATGCCAGGACCCTCTTTACCATATAGACCCTCACCCAGAGTAGAGTTGGAGGTCCTCTAGTCTGACCCTTTTATTTTACAGACAAGGAAGATGAGGCCCAGAGAAATGAAGCCAATTGCCAAGGTTACCCAGGTCACCGAATTCAGGGCCTGGGACTCCTGGTTCAGCACTCTCACCTCCTGTGGAGGAATGTGACTTGTTGGAGGCCCTCTATGTTCTAGGGTCAATTCTGCTCAGGGTTACCACATGCCTTAGGCAGACTCCCTTGGACTTCAGTGACCCTCCTGGCAGGTAATGGGATAGATTGGGGAACATCTTAGCGTCGGAGTCCAAGGCATCCTCTGTGTCTATCTGCAGGCCAGTCATTTCACCTTCGTTCCCTCCTCTGTAAAATGAGGGTCCTGAAGTACATGGGCTCTATTCCAACCTGGAGCTTGGCCCCAACCCAAAGGAGTCAATCCATCCTGGCCAGCGATCCTCTGGTCTCTCCTTCGCTTCCTCCCAAGCCTTAGACAGTGACTCTGTGACGTGCGCTCCACCCCACCCCTCACCTCTCCACACCCCCACTTTCACCCCCCCAGGGCTAGATGCTGCACAGAAGTGTCCTCGGCTCAGAGAAACGCGGCTAGCTGGCACACTAACTTCCGTGGTATCTGCCTTGGCGCGTACGTGTGAGTCGTCAGGGAAAGAATCCGGGCCCTTCTCATCCCTTTGTCTCCCAGCTCTCATCTTCTCCGACCTGCATCCCTGAGGTCTCCCTGCACTGGTGGGATATGATTTCCGCCACGAAATAGGAGTCCTAGAAGCGTCCAAGGTCTTCCTCTCTTTCCTGCGCGCACGCACTGGAGGGTGTGCCCCTAATGCAGCTGAAAATTGTCCCCTGCAGCCGGAGGGCAGGATTACGGGAACGCTCTTCCCTCTCCCTCGGGGACTGTGTTCTCCCTCACTCGATGGCATTCAGACTCACATGACTTTCAAAAAGACGAAATTAGAATAAAAATGACGAAGTTCACGAGAAGAGCTCAGACGTAGGTGCTGGAAGGGGTGGGAACGCCCGGAGCAGCACAGGGCGTGTCCCGCCCTGCCTCGGCTCCACAGGATACACGAGGGATGCAGTCACATCTGGAAGCAGCACAGCAAACACTACCAGTAACAGCAGCAGACAGTGCAGCCCGTGACCGGCCGAGGCCCTTCCTCTCCTGGTTCTTGTCTCAGGAAAGCTGCTGAGCAGCCGGGTGGGACTGCCCACCTTTCACGTGCCAGGCATCGCGCCGAGTGCTGGGTACAGAACAAGGCAAACAGCCCCTTCCCTCAGGAGCTCCCAATCTAACCCTCAAGAGGACCAGAGAAAGGTCAGGAGCATATTCCCTGGACGCAGGGACGTGGCTTCCGCACAGAAACCCTTTCCTTTGCGTCCTTGCATTCCAGCACCTAAAATCTACAGCAGGAGCTTAATATAGGTTTGTTCATTGACATCATAGCTGGAGGGAGGAAAAGAGGGAGGAAGGGAGGGAGAGAAGGAGGGAGGGAGGGATGGAGGGAAGCAAAGACCCCCAAGAGGAATTGAAACACGAAGTGCCCTCCACCAACCACTTATTTGTTCTCAAGTTGCAACATTCCCAAAATTTAGTCACCGTCTGGTGTGGGGAAAATTCACTGCCTGTATGGTTGTATCCCTAAGTGTGGCTGAGATGAAGAGAGTTTGGAGACAACCTCCCCTCTCCTACCCCCCAGTACGGACTGAAACTGACTTGAGATACTAGAATTAAATGGGGGCGGGGGGAAGGCCACCTTAATCAGATTTCTACCTGCAGATACTTCAAGGCATTTTCAATCCCAAGCATGCCAATTTAAAAAAAAAATCCTATGTTAAAAAGGCATCTCTCAAATTGCCTCTCAAGAGTCTTGATGTCTGAAGACATCGGCTGGGTTTTCTGTAAGTACAAGCTACACTTATTTGTCTGATTAATCTGTGAATTCATTATCAGCTGCATTTGGTGTAGTCACACACTCACACACATGCAGACACACACAAACACACACATATTCATACTTACACACATGCATACTCACACAGATGTACACACATGTGCACACATACACTCACACACATATACATGCACAGATTATGCACACATACATACACACACACACACACACACACACACATACACACATCATCCTGCCTGCACCAGTGGACACAGAATGATAAGAGTGCAAGCAGTCCTTCCCAAATGGGAACATGATGTGAACTACAGTCTCTGATCTAGGCCCTGAAAAGATTCAGTGATGAGGGCCAGGAAACAAGATGCTAGGACTTCTTCACCTGATCCAGGCAGTGATGTGATGATTGATCTCCAGCCTTTTGTAAGCCAATCCAATAACTCGAAAGCCCTGTATGGTGTAATTCTGGAGTTCACTGGCAAAATTGCTTGGCACTGTTCAGGAAAAAATAAAGGATTAATATGACAGAGTTACTCAATAAACTTTATGATGTTTGGGGGGGGGGGACACACCCAGATAATTCTTGCCCAGGAAGACTTCAAAATGAGTGGAAAACAAAGTCTTTCCCTTTCAAGGTTGAGGTACGGCTGGAGAGGTCAAACAAGAAAAATGCTTCCCCAAATAAGGAAGGAAGATGGTGAACAACTTTCAGTAGGGTTGCACAGGTTGCCAGTTGCAATCTGAGTTAACAGATTTAGGCAGTTACCGGTGTCGGGATGGCAAAAGCTAACCACCCTTTCTGGTGCCCCCTTCATGAAGGCCATCCTGTTGCCTCCCAACTCCTGCACAATGACGGACATCCTCTGCAGCACTGACGAGAATGGAAACTGGTGCAAAATAGCGATTCCTTCCACTGGGATCTGGGGAGACACCATGATGCCCTCAGCCATCAGCCCCCATCCAGCCCAGGACAGAAAGAACTGGATCTCAAGCTGCTTTAGGGGAGAAAGGAAAATCAGGGCCCCACGAGAAGATCTCAAGGTCTAACTGAAGCCAGGAAGAAATCATTTTAGACACATCCTAGCAGCTGGCTTTTCTCCAGCTCATTAAGGTTTCCAAAGAGTTGTTTGCATACTGTCCTCCACCCTCCCCATAGTACTGTGAACCCATACCATAGGTATTCTTCGCCCCATTTTACAGATGGGTAAACTGAGTCTCTGAGGATGAAGTGATTTGTCCAGGATCACACAGCTAATAAGGATTAAAGGCAGGATTCAAACCTAGGTCTCTCCTGATTCCTGTACCATCGAACACTTCCAATTATCCCCCATCTAGATGTGTTTTCCCTTACTGCTTTCAAACAGTCTGATGACTAGAAGGTGCATGGGAAGACCCCACACATACATAATGCAATCTTACTTGACAGGTTGCTTGGCTTGGCTTCACAATCGTGGCTCCTGCTGGGGCTCCTCTGACGTGGAAATCTATCCCAGAGTTCTCTATTTCCTGTTTCAAAAGTGGATGTTTCATTGCACAGATTTTGCCCTTTCTCTCCATTCTATTGAGAGCTCAGGCCAATTTTCTCTGAGAGTGAATCCCAAAGCACCAGATGCCTATGGAGGGCACCATCAGCAAGGCAGCTGGAGGGGAAATTAATCTAGGGCAGAAAATCTGGCTTCCACCATGGATGGGGTGGCCATCACCCTGCAGACAACAGACAGTTCTATGGGTCATTATGCGATCTGTCCCTCTTTCTCTGCAGAGAAGAAACATACTGAGTTGTGTGTCTCTGAGCAGGGTCTCTGGAAAGCTCACAGACAATTTTCAGAGCAGGCTTTTAGCATCTCTCTTGATGGTGTGCATTGTACATCTTTCCTTCACTAATACTACCACACCCTACCCCTTCTCCTTCCTGAGAGTCTTTCTAATTGTTATTGTTGGCCCCAAGGACACAAGGTCTTACATGCATGGCTAACATAAACCTTTGGTAACTGCCCTGATAACCCCAAATTATGCGCCATATTGTCCCCAATAGGAATCTTTTACCCAAAAGTGCCAGAGTGCTTTATTAACATCTTATTCAACAGATCCTTCCCATCCAGGGCAAGAAAGGCCAGCTTCATACTATGCTTCTCAGAGAAGGAAACATGGCCAGGAGGAACAAGAAGTTTTCCAGTCACATACACTTAGCTCTTGGTCACCAGAACTGAGCCCTGAGCACCTCTTTCTCTTCTCCTCCTCCCTCTCCAGTCAGACACAGCACACTGTTGTTTTTGTTCATTACATGCTGGGCACTATTCTTACCTCTGGGGATAAAAGGAAAAGCAAAAACCAAAAATGTTCCCTGCCCTGAAGGAGCTCTCAGTCTACTGGGGGAGATGGCATGCAACATCTATGTACAAGCAAGGCATAGAAAGAGATCATCTCAGAGGCTAAGATTAACAAGGACTAAGAAATACTCTTCTTGAAGGTGGGACTTTAGCTGATACTTGAAAGTCAGGGAAGATGGGAGGTGGAGATGAGGAGGGAGGGAATTCTAAGCAGAGGGGGAGAAGGGGGGGTCAGGTGTGAAATGGACTGTTGTATGTAAGCAGCAGCAAAAACATCAGCCTCGCTGGACTGCTGAGCACATGGAAGGGAATGAGATATGAGAAGGGAAACGCGGTGGAGGCGGAGGGTGGGTTGTGAAACCTTGGAACGCCAAACAGATTTTAAATTTGACCCTGGAGCCCAGAGGGAGCCAGGCCTTGGTTGGCACCAAGCACTTGGACAAGTGTGGTTCCTAACAGGCCCTGCTCTCCAGTCTTTGTTCAAACAGGGTGGGGCAGATGTTGTAGCCACGAGGGTCACAAAAGATCCAAAAACACTCCTTTGACAAATAAACAGAGAACAATTTGGATGAATAGTTTCTCACTTCCCCATTCAAGGACAGCTCCAAGACTCTACAGACAATATAAGCAACAGGCTGAATCAGAAAGAGGCTTACCCAGTTGGTGGCTTCAAACATCTTGACATCCAGAGGGTCTCCTTGGATGGTCCCGTCCAAAACGATGAGGGAGTGGCAGCTGGCCATGGCTCCACAAAGCGGGCCCCAGGGCAGAGTGCTGCCAGAGGTGAAGCTGTGGACCTCCTGGAAACTAAGGGAGGAAAGGGAAATGCACTCATTCTTTCAGTGGGTCTGCTGTTGCTCTGGGGCGAGGCCTGGGGCAAAGATGGAGTCTCTGGGGATTTGTGCTTCTTGTTCCTTCCTAAGGGTTGGTGTATCTGGTTTTGCTGGTTGCCCCTCACTGTTGTTACCTCTTGGGGATCAATCTAGACTTCTCGCTCTTAGTAAGAGAACTTACAGGAAAGGAGGCCCAAAAGTACCATTAATATGTACACCAATCTCTTTCTTCTGCCCGATTCCTGCCATGCTCTTTTGAGCCCTGAAGTTGTGCTGCACGAATGCCTCCTCACAGCTTCGTGGGACCCTGGGCTCCTGAGAGCGCCATCCCTTCTGGATGCCTTCCGCGTGCTCTGAGCACGCGTTCTGTAGAAGGGAAGCTCCTGCAGGGCAGGGATCGACTCCTTTTTGTCCTTGTATTCCCAGAGGCACCACAGCACTTGGCAAAGAGCAGGCTTTTAAGAAATGTTTGGTGACAGATTAATTGGCCTTCCCTGGCCAGACTGTAGATTCCTTGAGGGGAGGGAATGATCCATTTTTGTCTTTATGTCTGAGTGCCCAGCAAAATACATGACACACAGTAGGTGCTTGATTTGACTTGACTTGAATGTGTGTCTGCTGCAATTCAGAGAGGCAAATCACTAAGACCGCCAACAAGGGATGAGGGACGGGGGCCTGCCGTGGTGTAATGGGCATCTACTTGGAGTCATTATTCCTTTGCTCTTTTAAGGTGGGTTGACTAACACAGGGCCCTACACCTGGTCCAAAGCAGATGCAGCATCCAAGCTTGGACTCACCGCAGTCTTCAGCCCCTGAGGCGCTCCTTCTGGAGCTTCTGACAGAGGAGGCTGAGAAACAAGTCCCTGGAAGGAAATCCTCTAAGAACAAAATGCCCGAGGGAATGCCTGCAGGCTGCATATCCCCCTCCTCCTTCAGATCTCCCTGCCCCTTCCTGTTAGCTGCCTCATGAATCTAATGGGCTACAAGGGATCTCCGAGGTCAACTAGCCGAATCCTCTGTCTTCACAGAAGAGGAAACTGAGGCTCAGAGAGTTTCTATAACTTAGCCAAGGTCACACAATGTACCAATTGTCTTCTGACACCAAGTTGAGCACTCTTTCCAATACGTTTTCCAGAGGGCCTTGCAAAGCTGGAGACTCTTCTCCACCTAGGCCTCCCAAGGGCAGACGGCAGAGCCCAAAGGGCATTTGGACACATTTCTCTACATGGTTGAGCAGAACTCCCAGGCACGGGTGACCCACGTGAGGTCTCAAACATTATGTGCCAGTGGCTTACAATCACTCCTTAATAATGCTGAAGCATCTACAACCTTTTCTGAAGCAAAACCAGAGCCAATTTTCTACTGCTTCCCCAGCTGCCATTTACTCATGCTGTTCCAAGACCACACCATGGCCCATGAATCTGCTGAGTCCCATTTGGACATCATGTTAATTCCGCCAAAGATGTCACCTTGTTCCCTAAATGCAGCTTGTTGGCCAAGAAGCCCCAGCTGTCCTCATGATACATGACAACAGTCCACCCAGATTCCTCCTGAGGAGGGGCTTCATGATGACAGCTGGAAAGCCTCTGGCACATGGCATGTACACAGTCTTTCCCTCCCCAGAGCCCAAGCTGCCTATCTCTGTAAAGAATGTACTGAGCATATATAAAACATGGAACTGGGACATTTTGGAATGGGAGAGTACCTTAATGGTCATCACATTCTCTGGACATGGGAGCTACTAGCCAGCCACATTTAGGAAGCAAGGCAGCGTTTCCTACTGGCAATAAGATCTTAAGATCACAGATCTAGACTTCAGAGGTCATTTAGTTTTATATCTTAAAAATGAGGAAACTGGGAAGTTGTGTGACTCATCCAAGGTCATGTGGTAGTGTCAGGCAGTCTTAATCATTGCAGAATTCATTCTTTAAGTTGAGCCCAAATTAAACTGCTGCCTTTAACCTATTGGCCCTCACTAACAAGAAGTTTGAAGTGTTCACTCTCTTTAGAAAAAGTGGGTTATAATTACAATTCTGTAAGACCACAATGCAGAGTGAAATCCCAAAGGGAAGTGTGCATCCTGCTGAACCTTGTGTTTTGCTGGAGTCCAAACTTGGCTTTTTTCCTCAACTCTCCTTTTTTTGAGAAACATCTTATCACATCAAAGCAGAAAATAAAGTACTTCTGGGGGGAGGGAGTTCGGGTTTTGCCACTGGCTAAGCTCTATGACACTTGGACCACAGTGCCTAGCTCAGAGTGAGCATTTATAAAATGCTTGTTGATAGGTAGACTGGACATTCTGATGGGCCATAGTGCCTATTGAATGCCTGGGTCATTGGGATAGGATGAGCCTCGAAGCCTTCCTAGAAGAGGCGAATCTTGAGAAGTTTGGATGAGGAGGGGGAGAAGATGACAATGGGGTAGTTGGAATAAGAGTGTGGGGAGAGCAGAAAGAGATAGAGGTCTAATTCATTTTCCCCACTAGGGCATGAGCTTCTCTTATTTAATCTAGCCATCTTATTTAATCTATGAATCCCTGGTGGCCAGTACAGTATGTCACACCTCATAGGTATATTAATAAATACTTCTTGAACTTGAATTATTAAGGGATAGCTATCTGAGGCCCCTCTTCTCCATCTCCAATTCCTCCCACCAGCTCTCTTCCAACATGGTTTAGAGATGTTTCATTTTCATCTGGACTCACTACAATTTTCCAGTAGCCACATTAAAATGTGGCAGCCGGAATTAGACACAGGTCCAAGGCATGACCAGATGAACCCTCATCAAGGGCTAAAACACTGAGAGCTTTCAAATAAAATCCTTTAGCCTGAAACTAGAAATTATGTGCTCACTAGAGGGCTGACTCTTGTAATTACATTGAAAGCAGGAGGTTTGGTGGGAGAAAGAGAAGAAGGGTCTGTAAAGAGTTAAGCTTTATCCTCAGTGAGTTTACATAGAAAACCAAATGCAAATAAAAATACTATGGCTCAGACCATAATTACCATCTTGCCTTAGACCCCCAGTGGAGACTAGCCAGGCCATAGGAATAAGGGCTATCCCCCCCCCCCGACCACCATCCCTGAATCAAGGCTCACTGCTATAGCCATCATCCAGGGGAACAACTCACGTGGAGAAAGGCCCCACCACCACCCCCCAAAGGACCATGAGGCCTTTCCTCTACTTCATGGCTAAACTCATCTATGTATGTTTTCTCCCACTATTAAAACACAGACTTCTTGTGATCTGGAACCCTGGCTTTCTGTTTGTATGCTTAGCACTTCACTCAATGTTTGGCATATAGCAAGTGTTTGCATGAACTCTTATTTACTTAGTGAGGTAGGAGAGAGGGCCCACAAGTTCTGAATGTGGAGTGCATTACCTGACACATTCTCTTTGGTGATTAGTTTTGTTTAATTGCTCAACTGGTAAGAATGAGGAGCTCTCCCCACCTTGGTCTACACCCTAGAGCCTGATTTCCCCTTGGCCTAGCCAGAGGGATAGCTCTGGAGGTGATTGCATTGTAAAAACAAACTTTATCAATAACACTTTTCAAAAGAGGCAAGGCCATTGGCAACCAGGGTAAGGGTAGGTGACCTTTCCACATGCCAGGCCAGGTTCTTGGCCGTCTTGCTGTGCCTGTCTCTGTTTGTTCTCCTCCAAGGAGAATTGTGGGAAAGTAAAGAAAAGGAGGAAGCCCATTGAAGGAACAAAATATTTGTGACTCAAAGTCAAAGGCCAATCTTCCCATTCCTGGGAGGCGTCAAGGGGCAGACACAGAGTGTTGAGAGGATAGAGCTATGTGCCCTGGTTCCCACCCCACCCTCATCCCACCATACCTCCAAGGCACTCACCCATTTTTATCTGAAGGGACCACACCCCAGAGATCCAAGCCATCCTTTGTTAAGGTGCCAGTCTGAATAAAAAGAAGCATTTAAATGCACTTTGAAGAGGGGAGAGCTCCTGAAGAAGCACAATTAAAAAGTATTACACCAGAATTTCATGTGTGTCACAAAGGTGTTATAGAGGACAAAAAGCCACGATTAAGTTCCTAAACCAGGGAATTAAAACAGCATAGCCCTAAAGAGGGGTGCTAATGTCGTATGATTGTGGCAAAGAGCAGGAGAGGGCTGCATTTTCCCTGCTGCATTACACTTCCATTATTTAAACTTTCCTCCATCTCAGATCTGTAACTCGTGTTTTAGAACTGAGAGCATGGCCTGGTGCACTGAGAAGTAAGTAACTTGACCAGGGTCACATAGAAAGTTTCCAATGCCAAGAATAGTATGGCCTCAAAGGTAGAATGATGCTGCAATATAATAGGTGAATGAACAGGGGCGATTTTTCCTCAGCTGGTTACCCTTCCATGTCTGAAGTTGCTTCCTGAGAGCTATGAAGAACTAAATTGCTCTAACACCCTGCCTCCCCTATCACTCCTCTCTTAGTCTATCAGAACCTTGGACAGTGTTTGCCAGGATTCAGGCTCTGACATTGTTGCCACCTTCTTTTCAGAGGTGATACTAAATTCACTTCCATTCTTTATCTTTTTAATTTAATGTTTTAATTAAGGCATGTGTGACCAAACTATATTGCATTATTCAACCCCTGGAACCCTCTCACCTCAACATGTTTGCCTGCACAAAGCAAGAGATAAAAAAGAATGGTGACCTCTCACTTTGAGACCAGAAGAAATAAAATTCTGAACTGAGGGTTTTTGGAGAAAAGTCTTGCAGGTGCTGATCTCTAAGACTCCCTCTAGCCTGACATGCTATGGTCCTATGACTGCTTTACCCAATCTCATCTCAAAAATTCAGTATTTTTTGTTTCTTTGGGTGCAATCAGCTGTAAGTCTTAGAATTCTAGAGGAGACAGGGACCTCATGTATGATCTTAGTGAGGTCATGTGCTCAATACTACTAGCTTTTAGAGGGCTCCAGACTTCAAGTCATATAAACAGTAATACTAGTGGTAAAGCTAGAGAGTGATCACAGAAATATTCCCTCTGCAATATTCTCTACTAATGGTCATCCAACCTATAATGATTGTGAGGTGGAAGAGGAGGAAAAGGAGAAAGATGAATGGGAAGGGAAATGAGGTACACACACCTTGTCGAAGCAGATGAGGTTGAGTTGACCACAGATGTTGACCCGTTGGGGGCTAATGCAGAAGATACCTTTGTTTTTCAGCCTCCGCTGGGCATAGATGATCCCTGTTGTCAAAGCAGCAGGCAGTGCAGGGGGAACCACAATGGTAATCACATCTAAAGCCTTCTTCACAACCTCCTCTGCAGGCTCCTGGGAAAAGGTCCCCACTGCTTAAGTGACTCAAGCCTTCCCAAACCGGTACTGAAGTCTTGGAGGAGGGTATGTCTGGAAGTGTGGCTCAGCTCACATGGGTCTGAGTGGTAACTGTTCACCCTCTCCTAGAGCACACTCAGCCTGATCTGCTGTCCCATGTCTGTGTCAGCCAAGGTGGGGTGGGGGTAAAAGCTTGCCTTAAGATGCTTGTGGGTGAATGGAATTAGAAAGAACTGCTTATTTCTCTCTTTTGCTTTTCCCCAAGAGCAATAGGAGCCATGAAGGAAGTCAGGCCCCATCTTCCCAGCCAGCCCTTTCCTGACATCCAGCACAGACTTCTTCATATGCCTCACCTTGGCTGTCTTCTGGGGCTGTGCTGTTCTTTTGCCTTGCTTGGTAGAAGTAGTATAGATAGCCTAGTGTCCACAAGACCTGAATTCAAGTCCTGCCTCAGACAAATACTACTTGTGTGACCATAAGAATATCACAACTATGCTAAGCCTCAGTTTCTTCATATGTAAAATGGCCATATCTCCATTACTCAGCTGTAAAACTGACTCATTGCTCTAAGGTCCCTTCAACTTATAGGTGTATATTCTATGACCTAGCTCATCAGACAAGTGTTTGGTCATGTCACTGCCCCCATTGGAATGTGAATTCTCTGACAGCAATAATCTCGGGTTTGTTTGTCTTTCTTTGTATCATACAGTAGGTGCTTAATGAGTGCTGGTTGGCAGTAATTCAACATTGACTAAGTGCCTTCCGGTTCTAGGATCTGTGCCAGGGAATGAAGATAAACAGAGAAAAACAACTTGAAAGTGCTACAATAACTTGTGCCAGGAGTGCAGCACCAAATGTGAGTGTGTGCACACGCACCCACAAAGGCACACACCTGGATGGTGAAGACAAACATGTGCTCCGGCAATCAGCAGTTTCTCAGGAGTGGAAGCTCTGTCCACCAGCACAGACCATCAGTTGTTTAGTTTAGCCAGCTGGGCTAATGTAATGGAGCATCTTTCAGAATTACTGTGTTGGAGCATCTGATTACTCTGTAGCCAAACTGTCTGTGAGCCTCTGAATGGGGCTGGGCCAAGCTGAGGACCCCAGCCATTGCCTCCTTTTGTCCATCTGTCTGTCCCTGGGTCTGCCCCCAAGCCTTCCCAGCCTGGCTGAGCTTGCTACCACTTGCACCCTGATGTCCATGCCTTTGAGAACCTAGGGTTCTCTCCCCCACCCCACCCCCAAAGCATAGTGAGGCACCAGAGGAAGACTTGCAAAGTATCCTTGGGGGTGAAATATATGGAGAAAAGTCCCTGAGCCTAAGGAAGGGTGTCAAGATACTCCAGGTCCAACCCCCTGCCTTTTGTTTGTTGACCCAAGAGAATGGGATCTGTGGGGTAGGCTCTAGGTTCCAATAACACCTCTGAGCCACCTTGGGAAGGTCAGTGACCTGCCCTGGGCCTCGCTTTGCTCATCTTTAAAAGGAGGCGGTTGGAGCAGAAGGTCGCTAAGGTGTCTCCTGGCTCCACATCCCAGATCTTATCCCTAGGCATCTGGGAGAACCAGGCTCTGGCTCCTACTGGCTACTGGCCACCTCTCTCTAGCACTTCATGAGCACAGTCACTGCCTCAAATAATGGGAAAGACAAACCACTTACGCCACTGAGCACATAAACGCATATGGTGTAGACCATCCCAATGGTGGCAGTCCCGATGAGGCACATGAGGAACCTGACCGCATCTCTGTAGAGCCGGAAATTCATTGGCTTCGGGTAGAGGATAGACCTCACTAGGTCTCCCTTTGCAGTGTTGAAACCTAAGGCAACAAGCACCCACAGGACTCCGTTTTCTGCAAGTCGGCCACCTCGCCCTCTCCTCCCTTGGTTCTAAGCAATAGGTGATGTTTAAGAGGCAGCCAGGGAGCACCATATTGCATGGAGTGCTGGTCCTGAAGTCAGGAAGACTCACCTTCCTAGTTCAGATCCTGCTCAGACACTTCCTAGATGTGTGACCCTGGACAAAACACTTCACCACTGTCTACCTCAGTTTCCTCTACCATAAAATGGGTTTAACAATAGCACCTACCTTTCAGGATGGTTGTGAGGATCAAGTAAGATAGTAACATAAAGCATTTTTTGAACCTTAAAGCACTCCATAACTGCTATTGTTACTGCTCCAACATGCTAATGCTACATGGTCTCATCTCTGGGGGCCTGCCAGGACTCCCTCCCACACTCTCACTCAAACAATGCTGCCTCAGGGTGATTCATGGCCAGGGCAGATCTTGTTGTGAAGACCTCTGCCATAGCTCCTCAGTCCCACCTCCCTGACATTGCTCTGTGCTGGTTCCCTTATCTTCCGGCTCTTAAGCTCAGACCCCCTTTCCTGGCTCAGATATTCCAAGGGCCCAGGCCTTGAATCTTGCCTGGGTCCAGGGGCTCCTCTGGGGCCTGAACTCTGCCAAGACCTGTGTGGACCCACAGCCTGTGGCTCCACAGCCCCTCCCCACACCTGCAGGGGCCCCAGGGCAGGGCAAGACCTGGATTCCTGGAAACAGCCCCAGGGGCTAGGGAGGGGAGCAGAGAGGAGGTCTCTCTGTGCTTGAGTCAGTTACCAATTTTCTGATGGCATCAGGTGACATTCAGGTTATGTGCACAGGAGCATTTGTTGCAGGTCACTGAGAGACATTCGTCTTTCCTTTATGGATTTGTAATTCTTGGCTCACACACATGCACACATAAGCACACACATGCATATGCACACATACACCAACACATGCACATACATATTCAGAAGTGCTCACATGTGCACATACAATTTGTTCACGTATGTGGATACATGTGCACTGTGTGCTCATAGTCATGCTTGGGCACACACATGTGCAAACACACACATATGTGTTAGACCAGGCCCAAAGACTTTTTGACACTCAGGGAATTCACAAAGACAATACCAGGCTCAACAAAGGAGGTTTTCAGGGGCAGAGGCTGCAGGAGGTCCCCGGGCACTGACCGGTCTGAAGGACAACAGCCTTCACTGTTCCTGAGCCAGCTGATTTGGTCTGGAGGACCTCGGTGCCACAGAAGAGAATGTGCCTCCTGAAGTCCTCTCGGCCACACAGCTTCCAGGGCACAGTGTCTCCCACCTTGGGCAGGGCCGTTTTGATAACAGGAATGCTCTCCCCTGAAGAAGAGAAAGCTTTCATTGGGTAAAACTCAAAGATGCCTATGGAGACATCCATCTATGCACAATCTCCTCTTTTGTTAAGTGAGATTTAGCAGCCCCCAAAACACTGAGGATTAAAGAGTTTGATGGTCCTGAGGAACTTCCTTAAGGGTTAGGAACCTGGCTATCCAAATATTGCCCTGATTACACACACACACACACATACACACACACACACACACACACACACACACACACACACACATACACACACACACCCCGCCCCCAACCTCCACCATGACCACCAAACAGCTGAGGAGGGACATATCTGTCTCCATTCTACATGTTCCTGGACTGGGCAAAGGCAGGTCAGGATTAAATTTTAGACCTCAAATGGGCACAGGAGCCCCCGGATTCAGTGGGCCACCCAGCTGTGCTATTGAAGATGGTTGGGTGTTTCCCAGGCAGGCAACAAGAACACCTCCTCCTGTGTTTCTCAGCCCAGGCCACACCCCCAACTCAGCACACCCGCAGCTAGGTCATGAATCAAACTCCTTTCTACCCCAACCTCAGAAGTGGGCAGCAATTCAGACAGCCCGGAGGCCAGCAGTGGCACCAGGGAAAGGATTCAGAGTTTCTCTAAGGACGAGAGTTATATAAATAAAGGGCTTGGATAATAACAGTCCTAGGGAAGAGACTGTAAAGCAAAACCTCTCCTTCCAGTAGAGGGTGATGCTAGGCTATGGTGAGAACTGGATTCAAATCTCACCTCTAACACATAGGAGCCCATCAGATAACTGCTCAAGGCCCCAGGCAACTTTGTAAGAGTAAGAGGTGAGTTGCCAATCTGATCAGTAAAAGGAGTTTTCACACCAGAATTTCTGCCACAAGGGTAAAATCACAAATACTTCCTCACCAAAACACAAACAAAAAAGCCAGCACCTCGGACAGTACCTTGCATATCTAATTTGTGGGCAATCTGTGGTTTGGTAGCCAACATCATAGATTGAAGCCTGTCTCTGACTTAACCAATCAGTCAGCACTTATTAAACACCTACTACATGCCAGGCACTCAGCTAGGTTCTCGGGCTACCAATAGAAAGAACAAAATCATTCCTGCTCTGAAGGAGCTTACATTCTATTAGGGAGAAGTCCTGCAGAGTTGCGTAAGTCCCAGAGATCACGCAACTTGGGTCATAAAGCTAGTAAGTATCAGAGCAAGGTCAAACCTAGAACCTTCAGAATCTAGCCACTAGGCCACACTGCCTCTCTATAGTTCACTTAATAGGTGATTAATAAAGATATGTTGGGCTGTGTTTTAGATAAGAAGAGGGAGGAAAAATGAGGTCACACAATGATTCAACTGGCTGAGCCCAGATTTGACCCTCAGCTCTCTGGCTTCGAAATGAAGTCTCTTCCTACTCTTCCATTGCTTCCATTGTTCTGAAACACATGATTATGGCCATGGAAAACCCCACTGGGGGCTCCTGCTGAGGACTGGAGGCTTTGACTATGTTTAGTGTCATTCTAGTAGAGAATGAATGATTTTTTTTTAAAGAAAAGTATTGTCACACCAGGGCAACCTAGTGTAAAATAGTGTTCATTTATTTATTGCAATGAAGTGGAAGAGCTCTTAAGGACCCAGCTCAGATCCTGGCCTTGTACTTATAATCCTTGTAACCCCATTCAACAACCCCATTCTTCTGGCCTCCGTTTCCTCATCCTTTAAATGAAGGAGTGAGACTTTAAAAGATCTCTGTGTAAACTCTCAAATCCCTCAGTCACAGGCTTAGTGAAGTCTGTGGGAATGATACTCACTCACCCCACTCCATAGCCTCCTCCCAGTCATCTTTCACTCCTGGGACTGCCACCACCACTGGACCAAGATTATTCTTGAGTCATCAAAAGACTCAAGTGTGAGGTCCCCTGAGACCCAAGTAAGTGCTGGCCAAGGAGTTGCCTTAGGAGGTGACACTGGTTGTTGGGATGGAAAGGGCTCTGCAGCTTAAGACAGTCCACAACATACCAAGATTCTAAGCATCAGAGAGATTCTCCCCACCTGTCAGCATGCTTTCATTCACAACACATCCCCCATCAATGAGAATGGCATCACATGGCATCTGTATTTTGTTCCCACTCAATGACAATAAATCTCCAGGGACCAGGTAGCGGGACTCTAATGCTTCGATACCTGCTGAAAGTTTGAAGGGAGAGATATTGAGTCTGAATGGCTTTTCTCTCCCAAAAGAAGCATTCATCACCCACCCACCCAATGAGTCATTGACAGTTATTAGGACAGAAAAAGTGAAAGGAAAGGCTATGGCTGCTCACCCCCAAAAGCTAATAGAAGACTACGTGGCGAGGAACAGGGTGAAGATGAAGCTTGTCCCTGCATCAACATTTACATCCCAATTTCTGTCCTTTTTCCAAGAGATGGGATGACTGGGTCATTCCAATCTAGAAGGTAAACGGGAATAACCAGAGGGACTCACCTTTTCTCCTGCACACAGTGACCAGGATGCTATTATGAGATTCAACTAACCGGTGGATCTTTATGGATTGCTAGAAATGTAGAGGTGGACACAGGAAATAATGTTAATGCTTAGGATACCCATTCGAGGAGTTGGCCTTGGCATGCCAAGGTGGAATATTATGTGCCAAGCAACTGGGTTAACTAGCCCCAAAGATAGGGATAGAAGTCCCAAAATTCTGACACTAAGCCTGATCAACCCTTTCTTTGGGGTTCAAGGAAGAGACAGACTTAGGATTGACCACAGAGAGGAATCCCTCAGCATTCTTGACTTTCTTGAAAGAGCTTTTCAGAATCAAGAAATACTGTAGAGATAGGGAATTGTGTAAGTTATACAGAATTAATTCAACTTGATTCAATTTAGCACTCACTGAATATACCTATGTTGTACCTGGCCCTGTGCTAGATGGAGGTACAAAGACAAAAGTGATCCAGGTCTTGCCCTCAAAGAGTTTACATTCTACTAGACCTTTCTACTACTGCCATCGACTGGCCTACTGGCAGTTCCATGAACAAGACACTATACCTCTTGGCTCCAGGCATTTTCTCTGGCTGTTGACCTTGTCAGGAATGTTCTTCCTCCTCTGCTCCAACTGCTAGTGTCCCTGGCTTCCTTTAAGTCCTAATTAAAATGCCACCTTCTATAGGAAGGCTTCCCCAATCCCTCCAGTGCCTTCTCTCTGCTAATTATTTCCCACTTATACTGTATATAGCTTGCTTTGTATATATTTGTTTTCATGCTTCTCTCTATTAGATTGTAAGCTCCTTGAGGGCAGAGACTGTCTTGCCTCATTGTATCCCTAGCATTTAGCACAGTGCAAGGCACATAGTAGGTGTTTAATAAATGTTTACTGTATTGTACTAGTTATCTTCCTAGAGCACATGCTTAGCAGTTAGGTTCACTTCAGTGGTGGTATCACCAAAGTAGCCTTCCTGAATTGAGACCCAGAAAGAGGTTTAGAGTTTGGGTTCTTCCTTCAAGGAATTTACATTCTACTAAACTTTTCTGCTATCACGTCATCTTCCTAGAGCACACACTTAGCAGTTAGGTTCACTTCAATGAGGGTATCCCCAAAGCAGCCTTCCAGAATAGGGATCCAAGAGGGATTTGGAGCTTGGGCTCTTTTCCCCATCCCACCCCTTTCTCCTGGTGGTTTCAGATCCTCCAGATCAAACCCTGCTTTCTACCTTCTTTCTTGATCCCTTTTAGTGGGAGTGCCTGTTCTTTGTTGCTTATCTCTAATTCTCTACATTTCTTCTTTGAACAGAGATTAGTGAATCACCTGGCAGGTACTAGGGAGTTAATAAATGCTAACTGACTGACTATGTAGTTGTTTACATGTTGTCTGTCCCATTAGACTGTGAGATCCTTAAGAGCAGGGACTGCCTTTTGCCTGTCTTTGTATCTCCAGCATTCAGCACACAGTAGGCACTTAATAAATGCTGAAATACCAGCTCTTTGGATTATTTGAGCTCATCTCCCTGCTTCCACATGCCACTTCTGGATCCCTTCCTGAGCATCCAGGCTCACTCAGCAAGAGACTTACCTCACGGAGGTCATACACCGTTAAGGTGATGGAGATTATGGACATTATGATGATGGCGACAGCATACTCCTTATAGTCCTCACTGAACCACAGGCAGACACTAAAGAGCTGGAACACGTAGAATGGATTGAGAACCTGGTGGTACCCACAGAAAAAAAAAAGGAAGACGTGATCACAATGATCTTCCCAGTCAAGACAAGAAGGACATCCCGAGGTTGGAACATCAGTGACACTCCCCAGTCATGACAAGAAGGGCATGTCATGGCTGGTCACCAACCAACCCATGCTTGTTTTCATCTCCAAGTCTGCTTATCAAGATGCATTGATTGACGATAAAGTTTTCTTTTTCCTGAGCAGGGCAGAGTTGAAACTGTTCGATTTGAATCCAGCCTTCAGCCTTTAGAACTCTGTGAGAGTCCATTGGTATTAAAGAACAGCTCCTACTAGAAATGTCCACTAACTACCCTTAGGTCATCATGTCCATTTCCTCTACTTGGGGTCCCCAGGTCTAAATTAGGGACAGTCCAAGTTGCCACCAAATAGAGAAAAGCTCATTATAAATCCCATGTCTTTTTTTTTTTTATCAGTCTGTGTGGTTGGCAGTGCTTTCCTTGATGCCTGAAACCTCAGGGGAAATGCAGAGAGTCACTTCTGGTGTGTTGAGATACCTTGAGACAATGATGTGGGGAGCGGGGGTAGGAAGGCCCTGGCATTGATGTCCCCACAGTTAAAGGAGATGAGAAAGGCAAGACTAGTCAAGGAATGCAAATTTAGTTGGGAAACGGGAGTCGGACCTCCTCAGTTCATACCAACATCTATGAATGTCAACTAAAATCCCATCTTCTACAGGAAACTAATTACAACAGTCTTGCTAAAGTGCAGATGGAAGACATCTTTTCACACTCCTAGAGGGATGGCCACAAGACCAGAGAGTTAAAGCTGAAAGTGATCTTAAAGGTCAGCAAGTCCAACAAAAACTAAGGCCCAGAGAGGTTAGCTGACTAGCCCAGTGTCACAGAGCTAGTAAGTTTCTGAGACAGGATTCCATCCAAGTCTTCCTGACTCCAAATCCAATGCTTCATCCACAATATCAAGCTACCTCTTGGGGAAAGGTTTCTGTCAGCAATGGAAATTTGGTTAAGTTCAATGGATCCTGCCAAATAGGAAGGAATAATAATAATTTTTAAAAAGCCATTTTTTTCAGTGCTTACTATGTGCTAAGCCCTGGGAGTACAAATACGAAAAACAAGATAGTCCCTGCCTTTAAGGAGCTTACATTCTAATAAAGGAGGGTCTTTTCTCCATCCTCATTGTCCTCCACCTCTCTGCAGCCATTGACACTGTTGATCACTCTCTCTTCCTCTCTTCTCTCTGGTTTTTGGGACATCATTCTCTCCAGGTTCTTTACCTCCTTCTCTGACTACTCCTCATTCTCCTTTACTGGATTTTCACCCACATTGTGCCTTCTAACAATTGGTGTCTCCCAATGACAATAGGTGGGCCCCCTTCTCTTCTCCCTCTATACTCCCCTTGGGGATCTAATCAGCAACCATGGATTTAATTACCATCCCCATGCTGGTGATGATCAAATATATCTTTCTCTGCTGACCTCCAACCTCACATCTCTAACTGCCTTTCAGTTCTTCCTAAAGCATAGGTCTGATCATGTGGTGCCCTACTCAACAAACTCCAGTGGTTTCCTTCTCACTTCTAGGATCAAATACAAAATCCTATATTTGGCATTTAAAGTCCTTCCAACCTTCCTACCTTTCCAGTCTCCTTATACCTTAAGACTCCACTGCCTCCCCTCTGATGCAGTGACCCTGGCATCCTGGCTGTTCCACAAACAAGGCCCTCTATCTCTCAGCTCCTGGCATTTGCTCCAGGCATTCCTTTCCAGGAATGCTCCCTCTCCTTATGTTTGCCTACTGGCTTCCCTAGCTCCCCTTGATTCCTTCAAGTCCCAACTAAAATTTTACCTTCCACATGAATCCTTTCTCAATCCCTCTCAATTCTAGTGCTTCCCATCTCTAAATGATTTCCTTTTTTATCCTGTATATAGCTTCTATGCATGTATGTGCTTGTTGTCTCTCCCACTGGATAGTGAGCTCCTTGAGGACAAGGATTATCTTTTGTCTCTTTTTGCACTTAGCACAGCACTTGGCACAGTGCCAGGCACATAGTAAGCACTTATTAATGTTTACTGACTGACAGGAGAGTACCACATACAGGAATATATGTTGATCTGGTAAATTACCCCTTTGGATAGTGAGGGAATCATGGGACAACTCTTTGACATCTCCACTCCAGTTATAAAATATTTATTGGAAAAGTTATTATGTCCCCTGCAAGACAAAGGGTAGAATCTTTAATTCCAGGTAAACACCATAGTATAAAAAAGAAAGGCCCAGTGTGAGTATAGTAAAATAAGAAGTATTTCACACCCACACACACAGTCCTAATGTCTCACACTAGGTTTTACAATGCACCTGTGAACCTCTGTGAAGAGAGAGAGAGACAGAGAGAGACAGAGAGAGAGAGAGAGAGAGAGAGAGAGACAGACAGACAGACAGACAGACAGACAGAGAGAGAGAGACAGACAGACAGACAGACAGACAGAGAAGGAAGGAAGGAAGGAAGGAAGGAAGGAAGGAAGGAAGGAAGGAAGGAAGGAAGGAAGGAAGGAAGGAAGGGGGAAAGAAGGAAGGGGGAAGGAAGGAAAAGAAAGGAAGAAAGAGAGGAGAAGGAAGACAAGGAAAGAAGAAGAGGAGAAAAGGAAAGAGAAGGGAAGACTGGCTCTAGCTATTTTTTAATTATCATTAAAGATCTCTGAGTTGGTTTTGAAGACAAAAACCCCAATTTCCATACTTTGGGGCTAAGTGAGAAAAGGACAGAAAGCCCTGAGTTACCTCCTTAATGAGAAGTTTCCAAATGGGTGTGATCTCCACGTCAATGGCATTGGGCCCGCATATTAGCCTCCTACGGGAGAGAGGAAAGATTCATTTCAAAGTCATCAAAGAGTTTCCCTGCCTCCCTTGTCCCAAGGAGTCCCATTTACTCCCACTCTCTCTGCTCCTGAGTCAGTAGAACCTGCCCACGTGAGAGACTATTCCCACCCTGATTGAAATTCTCCCTCAAGAAAGAAGAATCTTCAGCAGCAGCCAAACAACAAGGAAACTACAAGAAGGGCACTAGTGATGACAACAGTGGTGGTGTTGCGGCTTCTGTTGAACTGGATTCTCAGGTGTCAGAGTTCACCAGACCTGTTTGCAGGTGCATAATTAATGAGGCAAATTGGCTCTTTCACTCCTATTAAGGGGCCCCTTGCCACATTGTGGCTTCTGTCTTGTGATTTCTCAACTCTGTTCCCTCATTGGACCTTGGAGGGGTCCCCATAGACCCCACATGTAAAGGACCATTGGTAACACAAGTTATTTTCTTCAAGTGAGTGACCAGGAGCCTGACAGTCACACACACACACACACACACACACACACACACACACACACACACACACACACACACACACCCTCCTCCATGTCATCAGAGAATTCCATGTGGAAGCCAAGCCAATGCAGTTGTGGTGCCTTTAGGTCAATGTCTGTGGGAGCTGGGGAGTGCTTGGAGGGAGGAAGGGAAGCCCTTATGCTGAAGTCAGCCACCATGTATCAGCTCAGCTCAGAGCCATGTCTCTGATCCCACAGGGAAACATGAAGAGCATAGACAGACTCCTGCCCCCATTCCTTTGCCTTCTCCGGAAATCAATAGGACAAGCTAGGGATGTGTCCCTGCTGTGTTCTGGAATGAGCAGGGGGCCTGGAGAGGAGGCAAGAGGAGAAGAGGTGCTCTTCCAAACCTCTGACTGTCTAAGGCTTATGGTTCTCCAGCTCTCTCTCTTCTAGGACTGGCTGAGGCAGCCTCCTCGTCCCTGGCCAGAAAAGCCTTGATTCAGCATTGAGAGGAGCGTTAGCAGCCCAGCCTCTGGCCACATTCTCCCTCTTGTCTTTCCGGAGCCATGAGGACAGGGTTTGCTTCCTACCGAATCTCTTGCTCTTCTCGGGTCAGGCCAGATCCAAACTTCAGGTGTATCTTGGCAGCAGTGAACCCATCCTCTAGGCACCTGAAAGAAGAGACAGAAGCTCTCACTGGCAAGCTGATGGGGAGAAGTGTCACCTTGCCAGCAATTTCTGGATTCCACTCACCCAACCTTCTGAAACTGCTCCTCTGAGTTGTTCCAAACATACCTGATCTTCTGCACCTGAATACACCTCACCTGCCAAAAAAGAGACCCAGACAAGCCATGAGCACAGGTCTAGACAGGCAGCTGGCCCCAGGGCATTCTAGGGACAACACGGATCTCTGGCTTTCCTGCCTGGCGATGGCTCCATAGGCTAACGTTCCACTGGGTGGAAAGGAGCGGTGGATGGGAGGACACAGTGTAGAGACTGATGCACACTAGAAGAAAGGCCATGTGGGGTGGTAGAAAGACAGCCATCCTTAGGAAGACCCAGGGTCAAACCCTTTTAACATCTGTGTCACTCAGTGAATCATTCAGTTCCTCAATCAATCAAAAAGTGCTTATGAAGTACCTACTATGTTCTATGACATCACACTAGACACATTAGCTATAGCAATATATTTAGGAACCTTACATTGCCAAAGAGAAAATAAAATGATGACTTTTTATAAATAATCTGATGGTTTACTCAGAGAACCCAAGATGGTCGACTTAAACTAATTGAAACAATAACTTCACCAAAGTATTCTTGAATGAATAAATGGGTGGGTGAGGGGATGGACGAATGAGTGGATGAATGAATTAGTATTAGAATGAAGTAAACTAGAAGGTAGGATGTGGTGAGTCAAAGGTAAACTTGGCACTAAGTATTTTAGGGAAATTTAAAGAGGAAGAAAACATGTTCAGCTAGAGGAATTTTGTAAGGCTTCCCTGAGGAGGTGGCACTGAGCTGAGCCCTGAAGAAGGCAGTCAGTCTGTGCAAATGTATGGAAGTGGGAGACCAGATGGGAGTCCAGCTGGCCTGGAATTTGGTCATCCCCAAGGCGTCTTCCTGTGGTTCAGCTCAAACCCCATCTTGGGCATCATCCTTCCTCATCCCTGGCCAGTGAATCACCTCTTCCCCTCCTGTTACTTTGCGTACAGTTTGTGGGTAATTAGTTGGCCACATATTAATTATTCTCTCCCATGGAAGGTAAATTCCCTGCGGGTAGGAGTGGTTTATTAGTTATATTTATTAATTGCCTTTCTATAGTGCAGACCTCACAGGTCATCGTGAGGGCCAAAGGAGATAATATCCATCAAGAGCCTAGCCCAGTGTCTGGCTCATAATAGGTGCTTAATAACTGCTTCTTTCCTTCCCTTCCTTTCCTCTTCCCTCCCCATTCTGTATCTCCAGCTCCCAGCACACTGTTTGGCACATAGTGGTAGGCATTCAACAAATAATTTGCTTCCATCTACACCAACGTTCACACCTGTCTAAAAATGGCCACTTCCAGTGTGTTTGTCCAGAAAACCCCAGATGGGGTCCCAAAGATTTGGACATGACTCAAGGACGATTACAACAGCAGCAAGCTTGTTTCCTATCATCTTCCTCAGCATGGCGTACTCGGTTTGACTCCACACCACTTCTCTTGCCCAGTCTCCCATGAAGCTTGTTCGTGCCCTTGGGGATCCAGGCAGACATGCCTCCCCACTGCTCCTGAAGCCACGGACAATTTAGCAGGATCATTGGCCACTCACTACTCAGCAGATGAGGGATGGGCAAAGGGGACAGGTAAACCAGCCGAATAGCGTGGATTCAATGGCACAGGCATGAAGCAACACCAGGGCATCTGTTGACTTGGCAAATAAAGAGACTGATAATGATGTTAGCTCCCTTTGTCTCATGGCTAGGTTCCCAATACTCTGGGCCATTTCTGAAGCTCCTGAACAAGTTACTGAATCCTGAATCCCACAGAGTGAAATCCAATGACAAGGTGGCATGTGGTGAAGTGGAAAGAGGGGGATTCTCACTCAGGAAACCTGGGTTCTAATCCCACCCCTGCCCCATATGGCTTTGGGCAAATCCTTTCATCCACCTCTCTGGACTTCTGTGTCCTTGTCTGTAGAACATGGGGCCACACTGAGCTTCAACCATCCCTCTGAGCTCTAGATCCATGATCCCATAATGAAGTCCCTTCATGTCCCTGGACCTCAGTCTCCTCATTTGTGAAATTGGGAGGGGTTGGCCTAGTGACCTCCGAGGTCCCTCCCAGCTTCACAGAGAGGATCCCGTGACCTCTGTGGCATTGGCCTTTCTTTATTTTGTAAGAATAGAGTGGCCTCCACCCTGAAGAAAACCCCAAACATCCCCCATTGTTAGGGATCTGTAGGATGTTGAGGGCCACAGGCTGTTCATGAGACTTCACTGCTGGGCAGAGGCCCCTCTCGGATGTTACTACATGAGCAGAATATCCTGGCTCGGTTCTCCGTCCATGGACCTTGCACCTCCCAGTCACCAAAACTCTGACGCTTGGCAAGCTCAAGCTGTAAAACAATGTTGCTAGCTCAAGCACAGTCAGCTCTAGCACAGAGACGTATCAAGTATTGCTGGTTTATGTAATCAAGTACTGGGACATTCTGGTAACAAGAAGTTCATGGTGTCTTCATGGGAACAGCACAGGAGAAGGACACAGCCAGGATGATGTTGCAAAGAGATGTGCGTGTTGATACTTTGATTGGTCTTTGCATGAGAAAAATTCTCGGTATTGCCTAGTGGTAAAGATATGTAAACTTTGCTGCTTTGTCCGCTGTTACATTGGGGTATGTTCCCATGAGTCAAAGATATCAAACGCGGTTCTCTGCCTTGAATAAACGGAGCCTCACCATCTTGTCTCCCTGCCTCTCACTGCTCTGCGCAGGTTATCAGGAACTAAGCTGGTACTTAGCATTCCTAGGAGAGTCTAAGACTCTCATAGCCACTGAGCTGGACGTGGATGAGAGCAACAACTGGCACCCAACGTGGGGCTGCACTGCTGCCGTGAAGCTGATCAGGGGCTGTGGAGAGTAAGACAGCTGCATGAAACAGTCGGGAATCGTCTGGACAAAGAAGATACAACACCCACTCAGACACCGAGGTCTGTTGGAGCCAGGGAAGACCTGACCAGTAGCCGTTGAAAGATTATGGGTAGGTAAGATTTATGTATATTACATAACTTATCATGGGGCAAAGCTTAGGTAAACTCTCAGATAAAGAACAAAACGTTCGGGTGATTTATAAAGTCATTAAGGAAGAGGGGTGCTCTGTAACTCCTAGGAAAATAAGAGAGTTTTTAGATATCATTGATATAATTTCACCTTGGTTACCTAGGGAAGTAAGTTTGGACTTGACTCAATGGCAAATTGTAGATGAACAGCTAGCTGAATATTATAACACTAAAGGCCCAAAGTCTCTTCCCCTTGGTGCTTTCACCATAGGAGAACAATTGACAGAATGTTATAACACCAAAGGCCCGAAATCAGTTCCTCTGGGTACTTTCGCTATCTATAAAATTTCCCTGCAGAGACACGTATGAGAAGGTCCTTCGAAAAATCATGAGAGAGAAGGGAGTTATAGTATTACATTGTCAGATTAAAGAATTCTTAGACATGATAGGAATCATCTTGCCTTAGCTTCTCAAGGAAGGGACAATAACTGTAGAAAAATGGAAAACAGTAGGCAAATAATTAAGTGATTACTATTTTCAAAAATAGGGACCTGGTGTTGCTCCAGTGTCCACTTTCGCAATTTGGAATATACTTAAAAATATGTCTCTAAGAATCAGAAGACGTGTTTCTAGCCACAAAAGTGATTAAGGTAGAAGCCTCTTCTTCCACCACCAAAAGAGAAAAAGTTGCATAAACGTTAACCAAAACAGAAATTATAAATGAAGTAAATTAAGAAAGTAGCTGAAGCTTCAAAGCCCCCCCCACACTACCCATGCCTTGAACTGTAAAACAGACTCAAGCGGCATGATGAGAGGTCTGTATGCCGCTACAGATTGTTTTGCCTTTTGTAAAAACCAAAACCTCAAGAAAGATTTTGCCTGGTTTCCATAACATCTGAAATACCTTGAAAAGAAGAGATAAAACAAAATAAAAATAGTATCATTTCCTTTGTGTAGGGGATTTCTGACAAGTTTCTCGCTTTTGAATTCTCCCTGTCATTTTGTTCTATGGTTGTCTGTGTCTGTGTGAATGATGGTCTGTGATTAATGTCTGTCATTTACTTTGATCTTTTACTGCCAGGCAGCCAAGGGCTACAACTGGATTCTGAAATGCTGCTAGTGACTTTCTCCCCTTGCCCCTCCCTAATACCAGCCACATTCCTGGGAGTGGGTAGATGGGGGACAGAATGGGAGAAAAAACTACTTCATTATTTAGGTTATATAATTGGTAAAAAGCAAGTTGAGAAGGATCCTCGAAGTGTCAGGTCGGAATTAGAAAGGTGTTAGAAATGTGCAGTTTTAAAGGGACTTTAATCAAAATCCATCAGAGAGATGTTCAGGTAGAAGAAAGGCAAGAAAGTTTAAGCATGTGGGAAAGAGAGTAGTAAGTGAGAAAGCTACAGGAAAATATAATTTGTTTGCACGGACAGTGTGAACAGAGGGCTTAGGGGTAAAAGATTGGGAAACTATTGGAGAATAGACAGAAGTAAAAAATTCTCTTTCGTTTTTGCATTCTAAGGCTCGGGCCAAAGCTTTGGATATAAGATTGAAAGATTATCAAACATAAGTTATTGCAAGATATTCTCTTCCTTCCTCCCACATTCCAACCCTGGCCAGGTTGGGGTGGGGGCAAAAAAATGAGAAGAAAAGGAGGGTCCTCCAGGAAGGAGGGTGAGTTTTCCTCCTCAGATCAAAGAGAAAAGTTTTAAGTATTGGAGCACAATCTAAAGATAATTTAGTTCATTCACCTTAGTAATATGCATGTTTCAAGTTTTACAAATCTAGTCTCATTACAAATTGGCACACTTTTCTGTGTTATATCACACAATTTTTAATAATCTAGATGTTATTAAAATGTGAACTAAAAGAAACTGCAAGGTAGTGAGATAACTGTGTAAACCCAGCTAAATTATTTTATCAAGTCCGGTTAATCTTGTTCCATGATGTTTTATAACTGTCATTTAGAAAATCAGGTATTTCCATCTTTACCTATGATTAAAGAACAACTTATAGCTAAAACAATTTAACTGTCACTCATGAAAATTACAAATTGTTAACTAAGTTATTTGC